CAAGGTGGTGGTACTGCATGCATTTTAAATCTATGTTAATTTAGCATTAAAAACAGTAACTCTATGAATTCAGGACTTTTCACTTGTAAGAGTATTTTTACAGTATGATTTGAAAATGGTACAAGAACAAGTCCTGCATTGCAAACGTTACTTAAAAGTAGAAAAGTATTAGCATCAACATATAATTAAAGTAGCGACAGTGAAAGTAGTCGTTGTGCAGATTGGTCCATTTCAGAATAATATATATGATATGTTTTATAATGATTTATCATTAAAGTGTTCTCAAAGCTGGTGAAGGTGCAGCTAGTTTGAATGACTTTGTATACTGCAGGGTAGCTTGTGGATTTACTCCAGGTGGAACTAAAGTCTGCTTTAAGACTTGATTATATTTCACATCATTCATCCAGATCTGTAAAGTAACTAAAGGTACTAAATACAAGTAGAGGAGTAAAAGTACACAATTTACCTCTGAATTGTAGTGGAGTAGAAGTGTGAAATAGCTACACATTGAAATACTCAAGTAGACTACAAGTACCTCAAAATTGTACTTGCACCACACCATTGCACATATCTTGAAATGTTAGTATGTTGGTCGAACAGGACACATCCACACTATTTATTGATCTGTTTTCTAACGATGTATGAACTCAATTATTAGCTTAGCCAAAAAGTCAATAATAAAAAAAGGTTAGTTGTTATTCAGTTAGTTGCTCACTTAATTTACGGGCTTTGAAGCTTTTATTTTTTATTATTTTTGACGTTACGACACTTCCGTCGTTACCGTGTTGCGCACTTGACGCACCTCCAGCTAGCTACAGCCTGCTAGCAAAAACCGTAATAGTATTTCTGGATTTCCTCACAAGCTAACTAGCCTTGTGACCATATTAAAACCGAGCCACACATCGACGTTACTCTCTACGTGGATGTGTGACAAGTGTGGCATTTAAAAGAAGCATAAATAATACAATAAATAAACAATATACTGTCATGGACACAAAAAACGTTACGCTCTTTTTTTTCTAATGTCAGTTAGCGCTGTGCTAACGGCAGCTAGGTTAGCATTGGGATGCTAGCTCTGAAGCTAACCGTTTAGATGAGAGCTGTGCTAAGGATAGCTAGGTTAGTATGCTAGCTCTGAAGCTAATAGTGCAGACGAAGGAAGGGAATCTGTTTTTACAAAATGACATTTTAATTTGAAAACAGGTTTTTCTTACCATTTTGCCGCAAGGGGGTCTGAAGCTTCTTGGAGAGTAATTTAAAGCTCCGTTAACGGATCGACGCAATCAGATAAAAGACGAGGTTTGTGACTTTTAACAGTGAGATACCGACCACCGGCTGTCTGACTTTACGGTTTCTGACAGCGGGGGAGAGATTCACTGCAGCGCGAGCTGATAGAGCCGCAGAGGGGGAGAGAGAGGAGAGGTAGTGGTAGAGAGAGAGAGAGAGAGAGAGAGAGAGAGAGAGATAGAGAGAGAGAGAGAGAGAGAGAGAGAGAGATGAGAGAGAGAGAGAGAGAGAGGAGAGAGGGAGAGTAGAGAGAGAGAGAGAGAGATAGAGATCGAGAGAGGAGAGAGAGAGAGAGAGAGAGAGAGAGAGAAGGGGGGAGTGAAGAGGGAGAGAGGAGGAGGAAGGTGCAAACCAAAGCTCGTCTATTCAGAAGATGGATCACTCCACTTCTGATTCTTAATAATAATAATAATAATGTTCATGCTCAGCTCTCTGAATATATTTTGCATATTTCTCCACAAGTGTCTGCACAGCACTACTGTATCATATATAGTCATATTTTCATTGTCCTAAGAAGTGCTTTAGTTTTTGAGGTCTTTTATGCTAAATAGTTTCTTTAAAATACTTTCTTGTTATTATCGTTATATTTTTGACCTACACTTAAAACTTACTTTTGTTAGATTGTTTATGTTTGCACCACCATGCACCAAAGTGAATTCCTTGTATGTGTAAAATATCTGTCAAAACTTGATTCTGATTCATAATAATTATACACTTTATTTGCATAGCACCTTTCAAAACATAGTGCTTTCACATAAGACAGAACACCGTTAAAAAAACACAGATAGAAAATAATGAAACAAGAATAAATATATTAAAATAAAATAACATATTGACAAACTCTGAACCATAAGGGAAATATCTGTGCATAAGTAAATCTACTTAAAAATTATAGCTGTTTAATTTGAGGCATCTGTCGTCTTGTAAAATAACACTTGGCTCAGTGGGTTAGTGCGCTGATCTTTGAATCAGAGGATAGCAAGTTCTAACCCCACTGCAGTCAGCATGTCGTTGTGTCCCTGGGCAAGACACTTCACCGCAAATTGCTCCTGTGGGGATTGCCCTGAATGTATGTAAGTCGCTTTGGATAAAAGCGTCTAACAAGTAACATGTAGTGTAATGTAATACATGTTTACTATTTACTAGAGTTACCTGGCTGCTTTTTCATATTTTCCACATTTTTATGTTACTGCTACTTATTTTTTGCTGCCTTGAATGTGTACTTCTTTGGTTTTATTGTATTAACATTTATTTATTAACCTTCCTACTTGTCTCTGTAAAAAGCCTCTTGGATCTGCTTGAAAATCCATCGTCACAAAAATGAAATTAGCTCAACCTTAAACATCTACATGCAGCAGTAATCCAAAAACACAATTTATAACAGTAAACACTGTAAATACATTAACTGCACGATATTTATATTTTGTCAGGGAATAATTCTGTACATGTTTACCTTTCGCCCTCTGACGCAGATGCCCAACATTGGGCAGCCGCTATCTCCTTTAAGGAAGGGCTGCCCTAGGATGTTGTTGTTGTTACCAGTTCATGACCGGGCAACCTTCGTCAGAGATAGTTCTTGTTGTGGGACACCTGGAACACATCCTTCTCGGGGTGTAGAAGACCCCGAGCCATAAGCGACAACAAATGTGATTCAGTGTCCTCAGCTGTTTAGTCTATCCAGGGCCGTCGCTCCCTACAGGCCGATCATGCAGGCTGCATGGGGCCTCACATTGCGCAGGGGGCCTTGGCTTATGAGCTCGGCTTGTGCGCAGTTCTCAGCGCAGTTCTCCGCGCACCCAACCCCTAATTTTTATGTCAATTTGCACATTTCATGGTGATGCTCAGCCTCTCCCCTTAACTCCTAACAGTCATCATCATGTCAACACAGAGAAATACTGATAGAAATGTGTGTGTAGTTGTTGATACATTGCTGACAGAGGGAACTACATTTGAATACAGATTTAAGATATATCCGTTTTTGAGCATGTAATAAGCATGTTTTGTCTTGACTATATTACAACTATATTATAATAAAATAATATAGTATTTATATTATTGAATTGATTATGATTATTATTATTAGTAGAAGCATTTATTATATTTTAATCTTTTTGAGGCTAGTATTTGGCAGGAAATGCATACTGAACGACATACATGCATATTTACCATTTACCTCACTGTATAAAAAAGTGACTGTGTTGATGATAATAATAAACAGGAATTATATTTGCAAAGTACTTTGTTTCCAAAAAATGTGTTTTCACTCCTGTCGGCGGGGGGGGGGGGGGGGGCCTCATCTCACAATGTCGCTTGGGGCCCCAAGTTGGCCAGGGACGGCCCTGAGTCTATCTATTGAAGAATGTTGATTATTACACTCTGAACTAGTTAAAACCTGGAGCTACAGGAGGGTTCTTCAGAATTGATTGTGGCATCTCTCTCCTGTGGTCAGACCGTGGCCCGTGACATGTCTTATGAATTCTCCGGCCGAAGCTCCAAATAAACCGTCAGTGTTTGCCATCAAAGCTCCAGCTCTCCTCGTGTCTCTCTGAGTCCTGACTCCAATTGCTTCAGAAGTTTCCCCCACATATTTCATTAAGCTAATCATACTTTCATACTAAAAAATATATATATATGTTTTTGCTCAGAGTGAATCATTGCCTTAAACGGAGACAATCTTTGGTGGGAAATGGTAGCATATCTTCTCTCAATCTCTGAAGCTCATCGTTGCATAGAGGAAACATCAAGGATGTAATAAAAACAAACATCAATCATCATGTTTTCATTACAACAGAATCATCTTTTAAACTTGAATAAATGTTAATGTGATCCCCCTTTTACAGTCATAACAAAGTGTTCTCATCCTCGATTTAAAGCATAACACATAACACAGCATAACCACAGCTAACAGAGATAGATCCTCTGACATTTTTGTATTGAATCGGACCAAGTACATTTACTCAATTACCATACTGACAAATCTGAGGTATTTTTTCTTTACTTAGGTATCTCCATTAAATGCCACTTTACACTTTTGCTCCACTAAATATATTTGAAAGCTTCAATTAATTTACAATATAATTTATTTATATAAAAAAGAGTTGAATATATGAATATTATGGATTGATCCGCCGCTGATCCCCAACACATGCACTAATTTCTCCTGTTTATCTGATGGTTGTTTTGCAGATTACATTTTAAACGATGGTGATGGAATATTATGTTTATTTGATCAAATACATTAAATACAAATACAGCTGAAACAACTACTAAATTATTATTTTAGGATTATTTGAATAACTGTTCGAGTCATTTACAAATATTTCCTGTTCCACTAACATGAAGAGTTGATGTTTTTCATTTTAATAATGTAAATAATTGTTATTTATAAAACATGATGTTTAAGTTTGTGAGATCATTGTGTCAGCATTTTTACTATTTTCCTTATTTTTAGAAACAAAACATAAATGGATTATTGGTGATTAACATCTGCAGATTTGTCCTTAATGAAAGTGATCATTAGTTAATAAAAACAAGCTTTAGTTATTTACTTTGGGTTCATTTTCCTGACTGAATTAACTTGCTTTTACTCAAGTAACACTTTCAGATGAGGACTTTTAACAATTATGTATCAGTACTTTTGTTTTAGGATCTGAGTTCTACTACTTCCTCCACCACTAATACATTATAATAACAACTGCTACTACACAATGACATTGATTCAGTATTTTGTTTTATTCACAAAGACACTTTATACTCCTCATTTTAACACATAACAAAACAGCAAAGTTTATGCATTGAGATGTTTTAACAAAAAACAAACAGATCATATTTGGCAAAAGAAATGAATCCAGCCATGCACTTCAGGAGAGAACAGAGGACAGAGAGTCCTTGGCGGTACAATGAGATTCAGAAAGAGAAGCACTCGCAGCCTGCAATAAGCATCGTGCTTGAAAATAAAAGACGGAATAATTTGTCCTCTTTCAGGTGGAGAGACGGAGGTGTTTGAAGGCTTAACGTTTCAGTCTTGTACTTTTATTTTTGTCAACAAATCCTAAGAATAGACCTTTATCTAATACGACCCGAACACCTGAAATATCTTCTTCCTGTGTGCCATAGAGCTCCATTGTTGTTCAGAAACTATTAACACACATTAATGAGCCTCTCTGATGCCCTGGTGACATGTTCCTTTATTATGAACACACACACACACACACACACACACACACACACACACACACACACACACACACACACACACACACACACACACACACAGTCGTTTATTTTGAGCCAATACACACACACCGTTCCGCTGCCACAAATACTCACTAAAGTACCAAATGTGGATTCCTCTGCCACTGAAAGTAGTCCCCAATAAATGCACCATTTCCTCTTGTTTGTTTGTTAATAACTAAAGTGAGCAGTAGGAGCCAATCAGCTTGGAGCTCAGAGTGACTGACAGGAAAGCAGAGGATACGTTTTGGTCTTTTCATGGGATTTGTTGAAATGTAGAGTAACGCCTTATAATTTAAAGGGAGCATCCTCCATCATCCACTCACACTGTTAAATATCATTGTGTCTGTGAGTTTTTTCAAATTCCTACAGAAATGTAGCTTCTTTTGGAAAACCTGACTTTAATTTTCTGTCTATTTTTCCTATTCTTGACGGATTTGTACCTGTATGGTTGTTAAAAATCAGTCTTAACAACCAGAAACAGATTGCTGCTTATTGGTTGTAGATACTTTAAATGCTTTCTGCCTCAAAACTCACATTTTCTGCAGCTGGCAAAATCTGAACATGTCTGAAATTGTCGAGTTATCTACAAGAACAAGAAACATCCCTTCATGCTACCTCCTTGTTTGAACAGATTGTTCCATTAAATAACACAATAAATAACACATAAGAAAAGTCAAAACTATTACAATGATGTTCACGCTCACATACATCACATCTTCTTTCTCACAGACACATCCACACATTTAATAAATAAGATCAAATAGTTATTTCTCCTACAGGTGTCTTCCATCCACTAGGTCCTTCACAGCTAGAGATATATTTAGTTATCAGGGGGTATTGCATACAATTGAAAGGCTTATTTAATTCCACTTAAAGGATCAGTTCTGGGATAATAAAAAGGTGTTGTCTTCCCTCCTTCTCCAGAATGACATTAGAGGATTGACATATTTGAATGCCTCCAGTACAGAGATACAGGTTCTGTGTTTAATCAACCACAGGACAACAGCGGTGGTTCAAGATGGAGACAGTTGTCTAAAGAATTTAAATAGAGGTTAGGGCAAAAATTGGAAAATGGAAAAAAACCATGCATGAAAAGCAAGTAAGGAAAAAACCATTGCAGTGAAGTCCTTAGAATCCTACATAATCTAACATGGAGGTAAGAAATGGGTTTCCCCTGCCTAAAGTCTTTTAGCTACGCTAAGCTAACACATCCTGGACTTATCTCTGTATTAGAATAACTGAGGTTAAATGTCTATTAATCTTCTAAAACGAGATGGAAAACAAGCGTATTTCACAAAATGTCCAACTGTTCCTTTACCGCTATGTGTAACTTTTCATGTGACGCTGCTCTTGATGTTTAGTTACTAAAAGGAAGTATTTGCACACAGAGTAAACGATGGTTTGAACATTAAACACAGATAAATGAGAGAAACTGCATTTGTAAGCTAAGATCTTTCCCTAGGTTTTTCCCTTCCCTGCTTTCTTTGATATAAAACATAATAAACCAGCCGTGTTGGCCGACATGATCCCGCTGTGTGCAGTTAATGTACGTCACTGTATAGGTGTTTAAATATTAGCTACCCTGTTTCTGGCATGTGAAGCTGCCAAAAAGCACCGCCGCAGCTTCAAAACAACATAAACAACCTTCAAAGAATAGCATAGCAAACAGCTATCTTGTCCCAACAACACAAATACCCCCGCTGACATGTCCTTGTTTAGTGAAGCTGATGTTGGAAGGTGTCCGGTCCTCGGCTGTGTGTTTGTGGGGGGGATGAGCAGACTCAGTTGAAGGACTCCTTGTTGATCCACATGAGGGTCCGCGTCTCGTTGGGCTTGCACTCGTAATCGATGCTGGTGAATTTGTTCCCGAACTGGCAGTGCTCCCTCTTGTAGTAATTGTAGTACTTCGCCTGCCAGACCGTCTCAAACGTCCCGGCTTTGATAAACTGGACAGGAACAGAGATCATGGTCAGCATTCACAGTGGAAGTAATCATATATTTTACTGACAGTTCATGTAGGAATAATAAACTGTAAAAATACCCTGTTGCCAGTCTAAGGGATGCACTCAAAAATCTCACTTAAGTCCTGAAGTATTGGCGCCAAAATGTAGTTAAGTACCAAAAGTAAAAGTAACCATTAAACGGATTTAGGTTGTAAACACAAAACATAAATCAAGCATTAAACTATGAGAAACCTCTGATATACTGTAGGCTATCCAGCTTTAGCTTTTGATGCTAATAGGCTACGCTTGTACTTTTACCTGATTTTGAATATACTTAAAGGCCTAACTGAGTCTTTATACACTGTAGTATGTGAAATGTTCACTAACAATATGTGTAATCAACAATCAAAACAAGACTCAAAATAGCAACAACCCTTTAAGTACATTAGCTCAATTAAACCAATCAAAGTGCGACTGCAGCTACAAATAATTCAAACCTGTCTGAGTGCTACATGCAGAAAATAAGAAGGGTGTTTCTGTGTTTTTCTATTAGCTAGGATACTTAGTACTTCTTCCACATCTGGAAACAGCCTCTGATATCTGGTAAATGTCGCTGAGACAGTTTTCTAACCTCCATAGCGACTTGCACGGGTTGCCGGTCTCCGCTCTTGGTGTGCGGGACGCCCTCGGTGTCGTACTTTCCGTGATAAACCACCGACTCCTCGTCCCGTGACTGCTCCTCCAGAGGGAAGACGATGCCTCCGATGTTCATGTTGCTGTGAGGAGGAAGAGGAGAGGAGTTTGATATTATATTACAAGCTTTTAGGGATAAGACACCCGCAGATCTTGAGTGCTGACTCTTCTCCTTGATCTGTTGTGGCTTGGCATAACTTCTTCTTTAGGTCACTTTGGACATCAAAATATATTTCTTTCAACATTATTTTTTTTGTAAAATAACAACCTGGGCTGAATAATATAACAATATTCAAGAATGTCACCTTGATGCCAGAGTATACCATAATACAGGATATTGGGGAAAAACAAAACAAGATAGTTACAGAGAGCTAAAAGATTCAAGGCTTTATTTTCATTTGCACATACAGTGTAGATATGGCAGTGAAAAATGTGCTCCTCCAAAACACAACAGGCCTTGTCTATACATTTTTGTTTTAACAGTGTGATAAAAAGAAACAACAGACATGTCTGACTCAAAAATGAGAGTTGGATTCAATGCTTATTTGAATATAAAAGGAACAATTGTGTTGTCTGTCTCTAGAAATGTCAAAAAAAGATAACGTCTTTGTAATCTCTCCAGCTTTTCCTTAGTGAATTTGCGCAATTTAAGTATACCATATATCAACTAAGATAGGTCAAATGTTTACAACCCTACTGATCGCGGCCTGTTTGCAGCGGGGCTCTGATATTGTTTTACTCTGCATTGTGCTGACATAATCCTACAGTTAAAGTGCAGATATTAGTCGTACTCCACACCTATGCAGCATGCCCATCAGCATATCTTTATCAAAGCCTCACAGAGACTAAACCTATGAATTTAGATGATTTTAGTGAACTTTTTAAAGACAGAAATGTACCATTGCTCACAAACAACTACCCTAAAACCTTTGAACTCAAACTCATTTGGGCATATATTTAGACCTTTATACAGCTACTGTAATCACCTGTTCTAAATTGCAACCATTTCAATTTGCACATATTAGGTATGCAGTCTCTGGGACTGTGTTGTGTTGAAAAAAGGTTTTTGTATATATACAGTTATTTATTTAGGTTGTTCTGTCGTGAGTCGTGACCATATACTGTATATATAAATATATATCTATTTATAAAGTACAAGTCCCTCAAAATTGTACTTAAGAACAGTAATTGAGTAAATCTACTTAGGTTAATCACTGGGTATAATACATGTCAGCTCAGTCTATTAATAACAATGCATTATCAGCATGGGGAGCAGGTCCTAATTCTCCCTTCGGTCCTCTATTCCTATTTTGCATGTACAGTAGCTTTGTTATTGTACATATTAATGAGTCACCTTCACATAGGTCCCTCCCATTGTTTGATCATGTGGACCCCGCCCTGCTGCACACACTCATTCCTCTTTATCTAATCCAACAACACACAGCCGACATGAGCTGTTAGTGTTTGCACATCAGAGAGCGACGAGGCTTCCTGTTGCCACCAGCGATACAGAAGAAAACATCATGATTCATTCAGGAGGAAATGTGATGCTACAGGCCTGCAGGAGGAAGGCCACGGAGCCACTAACATGCCCAGATAGTACTGCTTTATTTTGTATGTCTAAGCATTATTTAACCGCAATGATGGTAATGCATTGTATAATGGGCGTTATACCATTTTAATTCTAATTCTATTTAATTACGTGTCTACTCTTGTGCCTCCTGCTGCAGATAAACCGCAATATCTGACCCTAGAATGACGAAATTAATAATAAAAAGTGGTTTAAATTGTATTTCCTCTTACATGGCCTCGACGGTTCCAGGCTTCAGCACCACCTCGATCTTGTATTTGGATCCTGTCAGCAGTTTGATGGTCCGGTTCTGGCCGAAGCGGGTCCCGTCCACCTTGAAGAACACGGGCCCGTCGTTGGGCTGGATCCGCAGCGAGATGGCGATGTCGACGATCGGGGGAACACCGTCCATTGTCCCGGGTTCAGAGGGTCTCTAACGGGGTCAGTGCTCGGTGTTGGGGGAGCAGACGGAGGAAGATGCGGTGATGCTGAGGAGGACCACAGTCAAGCAGGGCACTAAGGGACTTCCGGTTATGTCTTTCAAAATAAAAGTCTGAAGGCCAGAGTCATGTGATGCAACTCAATTAATTATTTCTTAATTGTATTTTTAAAAATGCCATTGTAATTACCAAATGCTGAACCCAACAATCAAATATATTTCTTTAGCAATTGACAAAAAACATGAATATGCACGTTTGTATATTTCAATGAAAATGATAGTGCAACTATTTGTTAATAATAAAAAAAACATATATATACACACATTTTGGTTAAGGCTAGACGATAATGTTCTCTTTTTCCTTGTCTCATATCAAAATTAATCAAATATACCCAGGACATTGTGCAGCAAATGTGTTGTTGTTTAGTCTCAATTTCCAATACGTTCAATCAAACCCAAATAAGTGCCAGAATAAAAAGAATCACAATTTCTTGTAACCGTTATATTCAAGTGCATTTAGTCTAAATTGATCAATGTAAATGTACAAAATATATTTGTTAGTTCTGCAAGATTTATCATTTAAATCATGATGAAAGAAAGGAAATATATTATTAATAATAATAGGCCTAATACATTATATTTATGGGTGCCTTTCAAAGCTCTCAAGGACACCTTACAGAGCATAATTAAAAACAAGCAACAAAGAAGGTCAAACAGTAATTCGAGACTTAAAAAACAAAGACTTAAAAACAACAATCAGTTTTTAGAGGAATTAAGATATTGAATACGCCAGTTTAAAAAGGTGGGTTTTCAGGCAGGATTTGAAGGTTGAGAGTGAGTCCATATTGCGGATGTCTTGTGGGAGAGAGTTCCAGAGACGGGGGGGTAGAGTCATGGATGGGTAGAGTGGCTGAAGGCTCTTGACCCCATGGTGGTCAGGCGGGCAGAAGGTACAGTGGGTGTTTCTCCAGAGCCACTATTTCAAGGATGCTACGTCATTGAGTCCCGCTGAAGGACTGTTCCAATGCCCAGGATGCTTGGAATTCTACCGAGGCCGGCGTCCTTCGTTGCGGGAAATTTCGAGGCTGCACATGTGTATCCTCCGCGGTCTTAAAATCCCCACAATGCTTTGCGCACGGACCAATTTCCAAATATTTGGCGGAAATCGCGCTCCATTTAAGGCGGGGCCTCGCATATGACGCACACCTGCACACCTGTTCCACAATTCTTCATTTTCCGAGGCTAGGAAGGAGTCTTGCATCACTTCTGAAGGACCTGACTCGGAGGGACTTGTCCTACCAAGGAAGCGTCCTCGACATTGAGAAACACCCAGTGAGTTGGAAGGCAGAGGAGGATCGGAGAGCACGAGAGGGAGTGTAGGTGTGAAGGAGCCAGGGTTTCCGTTAGCCGGTAATTACCGGTTTTTAGCTGGTAAAATGTATTAAAAACCGGTAAATTCAAAACCTGCCGGTCAAAATGTCTGGTAATAATTAGGGAGGCTCCGATAGATCGGCCGCCGGTCATTATCGGCCGATATTCATTCTTAATAGTTTGATCGGTGCTCTCTATAAAGGCCGACCAGGAGAGCTGGATCTGATCGATATGGACATAAACGCGAGTGAAGTATAACCGGACGCGAGAGAGAGATCAGATCAGCTGCTGAGTCAGACCGAGACACGCAGCTCTGCATAATCACCTGAAGCCCCGCCCACTGCTGTCAGGAGAGAGGGAGGGAAAAGAGAGGATCCGTTTCTCCCGTGTTATTATTCAAAGTTAATGTAAACTTTTGAATAATGTACTTCATCTACTACAAGTGGTTTGTTTGAATGTAATAATTATGTTGTTTGTGGAATAATTTATTGGAAAATGAATCTGAATTTTTCGATCTGTTACGATTATAAACTGAAGCAATATAAAAATGAGCCCCATTAACTGAGTTTTAAACATCAGCATATCCGGTAATAGTCCTGTAATTCCCTGCTAACGGAAACTCTGCTACACAACTCTTATTATTATGATTGAAATATGACCACTAAGTTTCAAATTTGTCCGATAAAATAAATTCTGCCCGGACATTTGACCGGCGAGAAAAAATCCTAGCGGATACCCTGATATGGAGGTGCAAGAGTGTGAAGGGCCTTGAAGGTGAGGAGCAAAATGTTGAAGTCGATGCGGTATTTAACGGGCAGCCAATGGAGTTGTTGAAGAACCGGAGTGATATGATCAATGATACGGGCGGCTGAGTTTTGGACCAGTTGGAGCTTAAGCAGAGATTTGTGAGGAAGACCAGAGAGGATGGAGTTGTAATCAAAACGGGATGTAACGAGGGCTTTTGCTCATTATAATATATAATAGATTATATATGCCAATTATCATCTATATCCCCCTTTTGCTTTTTCCGTGAGTTGCCTTTTCCTACTACTCATCCTTTTACCCTATTTTGTGTCTTTGTTTTTCTCATAAATATGTAAAATGACAAAGCGAAAACATTTTCATCGGACATCACAATTCAACTTTAGCTAGGAGTTTTGTCATTGATTGCATCTCAGTCCGTGTTAAACGACACAAGAAAAAAAAAATTAAACTTTACTTCAGCTAATTGCAAACATTTAATTTATTGCATCTCAGTCATTTTTACATCACAGGATTGAAACAGCTTAATTGTATCAAATAATTTGACCCTCTGATGTCAATGTTTCATTTTCTCCATGATTCTTTTTTTCTTAAAAAAAGTACAAAAAAAATAAAATTATTTACATTTTTTTGTGTGTGCGTGTATTTGCATAAAACACAAACTATCAAATATATTAGAGTTAGAAATCAAAAAGTGCCAGAGGTGCTTTAAAAAAATAATACTGGATGTGGAGTCTTCTGTCGGTCATCTGTCCAGCTCGGCCTGCAGGATCTCTCCCCAGGTCTCAGCGTCCAGAGGCGTCATCTTCCTGCCCCTCAGCTCCTCTGCAGAGCGCACATGGCTGAACCGTCCCCTCAGCCAGTCTCTCTTCAGACAGCTGCGCGTGTAGTTCTTCACCAGAGTGACCTGCAGAAACGAGCGGGACACAGTCATTACCAGTCGTTATCAGTAATCAGAAATTGGAGCTTCTTTTCTCCCCAGGAAAGTACCACGTCTCTAGCAGGCACTAAAAAGGGGGGAAAGTTCTCATGAACTAAGTACTCTTTTTGGTGTGAACGCAAAATCGCAGGAACTATCGGAACTAAACGGGAAAAGTACTCCGGTGTGAAAGCGCCTATTGTCGCTGTATTGTATAATTATTTGTCTGTTTTATTTTGATCCTTTTCTTTTCCTTTCTATGTTTCTTTTCATGGCTCTGTTGTTTAAGTTATTGATAAGCATGCTTTGGTTTAGTTTTGCCTGTGTGGGCATGGAGGGAGGGAGTGGGGAGTGGAATGAGTGTACTGTGATACTATAATGTAAATGAAATGGCATCGATTATTGTACGCTATAATGAAATAAAAAGACGTATAAAAAAGAAATCTAATGTTTTGTGTCGCTGTGGTGAACGGACATTTGCAGCTGTGTTCACTTTTTATTTTATATTCTGATTGTACTACATTTGTTCTGTTTTCTTCTGCTGATATTCGACTGGAGGACTCAGAGATCTGCACATAATCAGAATCAGGAAACTTTATTTATACTTGGGAAATCTGGTTTCTTGACAGTTGCTCCATTTTAGAATTCAATAAAAACATGAATATGTATTTAAAGAAAAATATTAATAAATATACAAACATTTTGTATAAACATAATCCGAATCCTGGAGATAAAGTAAAATGTAAATTGAAAGATATAATAAAATAGTAGCTATTCATGTAACTCCAAGCCTTTTTTGAGTATTTAATGACTGCATTTGTGCAACCATTGATGTCCTTTCTTGTCTTGAAATGTACAGCTCTCCCCTTTTCCCTATATGCTCCTACTGACCTGTTTCGTCATGGTTTCTTTGTTTTGTTTCTATAGTGGACCCACCTTCCAGGACAGTCCGTCCCTCCTGTCGCTGTCGACCTCCCTCTGGCAGACGGCGCTGACCAGCGAACACTGAATCCTCCACACCTGCTCGCTCTCCTCGATGATGTCGTGCCACAGCCGGCAGGTCAGCGCCGCGCTGCACAGACTCTCGGTGTCCAGCTCGCCAAAGATCCTCTCGCTCATCTCCGTCGGCAGCGTCTCTGCAAAGTTTTCAGGAGGGACGTCGCAGGTGGACATGAGGGAGGCTCTTCTTTTAGAGCAGAGAAACACGGGCGAGGTCGGGTCGTGATGCATGATAGCTCAGAGTCCAACTGTCTGAAACCGCCTGGAAAACAGAGGGATCAAGAAAGCTGACGTCACTGATTACAGCTTCATTACAATGTGAACGCTTCAGGATTATTTTTTAATCCAACAGGCGGCACTTTGAAGATATAAGGAAAGAGGACATTCCTATTCAATTGTCTTGGGGAATTTTGTAGCATATTGTATTTCATTGAGCAAGAGTTTTTCCTACAAATAAAGAAATACTTTGGATCAATGTATATGTTATTAAATTCTAAAAAGCAACATCTGCCATTGTAGCTGAATCTCCATCCTCTATTCAGTTGTAGAACATAATACATGTTGGCCTTTTCAGTTACAGAAGCATAGCATTTACCAAAAACCAGTGCATAGTAAAAATACAGAGACACTCACTGTTTCATAATTGTAAGTAAAATGTAAGTAAATTAAAACATGTACACCAACAGACTATGAACAGTCACATGTGGCAGTGATTCACATGTAAAATAGAACAGTATTATGCCCTACAATAGGACATAAAACAATGTAGTTCTATCAGTAGCTTTGCAGTAAAGTAGAAAACCCCGCTAACACTGAATCAGCTCTATTGAGTGCAGGTCTTTTTAGTCCGGAAAACCAGATCTGGAGTCAGTGCTTTCAGTTAACAAGCTCCCCTTGCTCTGGAAACAACTTCCTGTGTTTATTAGGAAGGCAGACAGTGTCAAGAGCTTGTTGAAGACTATCCTTTTGAATAAAGCCTGGATTTTATAAACAGATCTCCCTATGATTGTCCTCCTGAGTCCTACATTTTATGGTATTTTATTTTATTGTTTTTACTCTCTTGTATGTATTTTATCTCATGTTATTGTCATACAAAAACACAGAATAAAGTAAATGTGCATAAAGCCAGGAATATGAACAGGTGAGAACAAGATGCAAATTGAAAACATGACAAAAGTAAACAGATAATGCTGAAAAGTAAATAGGCATGATATAAATGCAGTTTTCTTTAACCCAAAAATAGGTGTTAGGCTTTTGAGTGGCAACACAAATCTCTGCCCTTGAACACAACCGAGATTTAACAATTTCCAGGCCATGAAACAGAACAAAATAACAGCAATCCGTTTAAATTACGATCATGTGTTTACCTGTTGGGTTTGCGGATGAAGAAAGCTTTAATTTCTGCATAAAAGTGAGAATTTTCAATCAGATTTTACTCTTGCTCACCGGAGTAACGTTGACGTCCCTGCTAACATCAGCTAGCCTAGCTAAGATCGACTGAAAACCCCTCGCAGTTTTCAGGCCAAATCCTTGGTGATTTTTTTACAAGAAATGCAGATATAAAAGTCAGTCCGACTATTTTACTACATACAACACGATGAGGTTTAGTTTAGTTTGTTATTTTCTTACCGGCAGTGTGGTCGCTCCGTGCCTCGGTGACAGCTGACTGTTTAAATGCCTCAACGGTTGTTTACACACAGACACACATCGTGTGTTTTGATGAAGTGCGCATGCGTATAAAGGGTCATACATTCACCAGACTCCGTGCTGAATCTATACAATTTAACATGTTGTTGTTTATTGACGAATTATTCATGTTTAGAAAATAAATCAAAAGATGGTTTATCAACAAGTAAATATCAATCCTTAATTCGGCGTACATTTTATATACATTGCGTAAATTTAGTTTATACAAATCGCAATTTGATTCTCACGTCTTAAATACAGAAAATCCTCGTTCTTTATTGAAATAATTCAAAACAATGTTATTCGGTGAAACATGTTGTGAATACATTTACTACACAATAATATGGCGGAAAAAGCTCCTTATTTATTTCTATTCTGTCCTAATATCCAGCTACTCAAATCCAGTACACGATGACCACAAGTGGAGAGGAAGAAGTGTGAAACAAATGAATAAGTTGAAATATTTATCAATACAAGAATGTAATGTCTGTTAAATGTATGCCGAATTAAATAGTTGTATTTATTGTTGATAACCCGTCTTCTTTTTTACTTTTAAAATGCACAAATAATTCGCGAGTGAACGATAACATTTTAAATGGGATAAAATCTGTATGGAGTTCGGTTCAAGTGTGTGCAGAAATCCAAAAGACAGAGGTCTACTGCGCAGACTCCTCAGAATCCCGGAAGTTTTGAATCCTGCAGCTAGAGTTGTAAATGCTTTCTGTGCTGTCGGTTTGATTGTGGAGTTTTTTTATCCTGAGAGACAAATAACTATCCTGTTTTCCTTCACAACAGGTAGGCAGAAGTAAAAGTGTATTATTGGATGGCTTGTTGAGACCTTAGCTGACTACAGTCCATGCAACTGAATGAAACACAAGTTTTAGAAGCTGTTTACTTCCACTATTACTGTAAGTCCTGTGTAGCTTTTCAAAAAACCCTGAACTAAATGGTTGTTTGTTGTTTACTTATGTGTTATCAACCAGTGGCTCCAGTGAACTGGGGTGAAGCTCCCTCCAGTACCCGGCCAGCGGTGCAGATGTCCGGCTTCGACCTGCTCCCGGTGGACGGTGGCGGCGGGGAACCAATCCACCTTCCTCCGGGGGAAACGGTGCTGGGCAGGGGGCCCTTACTGGGAGTGAGTCCTTTTAATGTATTACATTACATATTGATGACTACTTATTTGACGCCTTTTAAGAATCAGAATATCTTTATTCGTCCCACAGAGGGGAAATGTACATTTGTTACAGCAGAAAAGAGCCAAAGACAGCTTAATGTTAACTAAATGTTAGTTACCCAAAGCGACTCACATACTACTACTTTTGTTTTGGCTTGGTTTGGATACTTGCAGTACTCTTAAGAAACAGTGCACATTAATAAATATTGCTGTAAATGCAGTGTGTTATTTTAACTCTAGTCAAACATTTGCACAACAGACTATTAACAGACACACGTTATATATCACCCATAAATTGGTAAAATTGACATTCAATACTAAGTTTCAGTAGCTTCAAGTCAAAAGAGAAAACTGCTAATCAACTCTGCAAATACTGACCAATATTCCTGCTTTCAATTTGTCTTGTTAATACTCTTTGCTAGTGTAATACTAGCGTGACTGAGTACCCATTTAAAATATTCCTGTACATTTGTTAGTGGGATGTAGTGGGAAGTACTAAAATAGAATAGTGAATAGTTTGTTCTTTTTCTACCTTACAGCTATGGTTAATTCACAATTTAAGATTCAGGTTAATAACAGTTTATAGCAAAGCTGAAACTATGAATCTATTAGTTGATTGACAGCAAATAAATCAGCTACTGTTTTGAGGGTTAAAGACCTTTTTCATGCAATGGTTTGTGTGTGTTCACTAAATAATGAGTAAAAACCATCTAATTGTCTATTGTATTTAGTAGTATAGCGGGAATACTTTTTTCGACTTCTTTTGCACTCAGCAGTAGCATTTGCAATTTCTGTAATCACGCTAACTGGTGAGATTTTAAATAAATATCTAAACTTGCTCCTAAAGAGTCAAACTAAGGAACCTGTCATCGCTGAGCTGCAGGTGTTCCTCTGAACCACTGGAGGACTCTGTCACTCTGGAACATGGAGGTGTAATTCCTGATCCGGTACAACATAGTCGTTGTAGCCCTGATTTGATCACAGCTATCACCAAAAGGGACAGATTTCCCAGCATGTTGTTTGTATTGCTTTTCTTTGTACACCTGTGTCTCTAAAATTTAAACATGGCCTGATTTCACTTCCACTACATACAAGGAGGGATGTTTTGTTATAAATAATAAAAAAACAAATGGAAAATCTGTAAATAAATTAAATAAATCAAAAATCCACATATATTAATACTTTATTTACTGCATGAATGTTGAAGTTTTACCTTTTATACTAGTCTTTTATAAAAACTTAAAGTAACTCTAGGTGGTAGAAACACACACACTTACCAAACGTTATATGATTCATCCTCTGGGTACCATCACAGGTGTTCTTCTTATAAAATACAGGTGAAATTACTATAGTGGTCTATATCTATCAGTTTATTTAAACATATCTAACTCATTTTGTACTGAAGCTTCTCCTGTTTAATTAATGTTGTGTCATCTCAGGTCAGTGATAAGAGAGTCTCCAGACTTCACGGGCTGCTGGAGAACCTGAACGGACAGCTGCGCCTCAAACCGGTAAGTCTTCGCACTAAAAATAATCAATAACAACAATGAAACACCCCACTGCTTCTGCCTGTTTCACTCGTTTCACTTGTAGTTTAACGGTGACCCTTATTACAAAAGCTTTGTTTTTTAAATATCAATTCTGTTAATGTCGCAGAAATCACCGCCTCGTGTCTTAGTTCTTTATAATGTATTTTATTGTGTGTGATCAGTTTCTTTAATGGCTGCCTAATGCAAACATGTGAAACACTACAGATAATGTTTAGAGTAATCTGAAATCTGCGCTTTCTAAGACTGATGCCCTCCGAGAAATACTGACTATATAAAACAAAGCATGTAATGACACTACGGCTACAACTAACGATATTTTTAATTATCCATTAATCTGTTGATTATTTAATCGATTATTCAATTTAATTTGGTTGATAAAATGCTGGATAACTCCCATAGCAGTTTCTCAAAGAACAAAGTGAAGTCTTAAGATGCAGAAAATAATATTTAATAATTATATAAAAAAGAGAAAAGCAGGAAATCTCCATATTTGGGGGTCTGCAGTTTTGAATGAAAACAAATCTGGCTATTATTTTTTAACTATCCATTTGTCAACAAATATTAGTGCTCCAGTTGACAACATTTCCGTGTTTATTTATCTGTTTAGCGCACTAGTTTCTGGTGGTGTTGTATTGGATTGCATTATTATTATTACTCAATGGTGTTTCTAGGATTTAGTTCCCATATTTCTTTCTTAAAAGAATGAAGAGGTTTTCATCTGGAAGATAGATCTAGAGGAAGGACCACATTTTGCCGATTCATTCAAGGAAATAAACGCACAATCTCTGAATGCACTTCACTTGCTTTCTGTCTTCCCTGTAATGGAAGGAAGATTACTGTCCCTGCCATAAAGAAGGACTTTGTGTTTCAGCAGTACTGGCTGTCAATGATTGCTGAAAAGTCACCATTCCATTAACTACATTCAACGCTCAGATTTGTACCAGGAGGAAGTATTGATTTGTTCGAGTTCACAAGAGGTCTGTTTAGAAAAGATTATTCAGCGTTATATCCCACCGACATCTTCTAATTATCATTTCCTGAATTGACTTTAAGAGGCTGTTAATGCATCAACACGTCTCAAAATGTGAGTTGAATAATTATCACTCAACAGTCACAACACTTCAGATGTTTTCTAATTGTGAGGAGAAATCAGTCGATCAATAAATGAGATCTTTGGATCCCAAGCTGGAAAAAAAACTATTCTTCACAGAGCATTAATTTTGGTAGTTATTTATATTAAATACATGTTCTTATACAAATGAATTTCAGTTCATCAGGTTTGTTTTACATGTTATAACATAGGTGCAACAGGGAGGCAACTATTGTAATAAGAGATTTAGAATCTTAAAGTGTCTCTACTGTGACATGTCTCCATGCTTTAATGTTCAAAAAGCTCTTTATTTTTCTCATACTGCCTGTGCTGCACCACCTCTTTTCACCCTCTGTCTGAAACCAGAGCCCACTCTGCTCTGATTGGTTAGCTGGCGGGATCTGTTATGATTGGTCAACGTCTTAAAGATGTCCCGCCCCTTAGCCGATCACGTACAATGTGTTGGAGCGCTAGCCAATATGAGCTTGAGTGTTGCATAGTGATGTTACAGAAGTAAACAAAGGAGCCCAATGGAGGCAGTGGGGGGAGTGTGTGGGAGAGAAACCTATATAACACACTACAGGAAAGGGGAAACCCCAAAAGCATCATTTTAACTTTCCTCACCTTCAAATAGTTTTAGTTTAGATAGAAAACCTGCTGGAGTTCATTGGTTCATCCTCTCACTGTTTCCCCCCCTCAGACCCACCTGAACCCGTGCTTCGTTCAGTCGTTGCTGTCGGACGACCCTCGCCCTCTGCAGAGAGACGTCTGGTTCTCTCTTCAGGATGGAGATTTATTCTCGCTGATGCCGGGTCAGTTTATCTACAGGGTGGTGGCCGTGGGCGGAGGAGACCGCACTCCCAGGTACTTAAACATCTGAAACACGCTCCTCTCCATGTTAACATTGTGTTTCAACGTCAAGAGATTAATCTTGTTTACTGTGATTTCCCCCGTCTTCGTGGGTAATTAAATGGAGACGGAGGAGGCTGCTCTTCTCTGTTTGATTACAGTCTTATCTTTTATCTTTGCACAGCAGAGAGAGTGAGGTTCAGTTCAAGTGTTTTGTGTTGACTCAAATTAAAACCCAGCATTAAGGAGAAGATTGATTCATGCAGTCTTTGAGCTTCTGCAGTCTTTTATCTATGAGGTACCTTCCTTCGTGTTGTCCTGAAGATCTCTGTTTGAAGTTTAGATCAAACACACAGGAAGAAGACACTCCAGAAGATGTCAGCGCTGTTCAGACCAGCCTCATCTTAAATTCATGAGAAACTGAAGGTTGCTTCAGAGCAACAGCATTAAGGCTCTCATTTCACATCATCATTTTTCTCAGGAAAATCTCCGTTAGTTGTTAAAAAGTTTTAAAAGTGGACTTCAAACTTAATTGTTCAGGCTGAATGTCATTGAATCGGCCACAAACCAGCTTATTGATTTTTATTTGACAGCTGAAACAAGAAGTACATACTGAGATACATTTACAACATATGCTGTGTATATTCAAAGACAAAATGACAAAACCAACCCTCTCTCCAGGACACATTAACACACACTTTTACACAAACGCACAAATATATACAGCACCTCAGTGTATAAAGGTTATATAAGGTAACTTTATGAAACCCAAACCCAGTCTGCTCTGATTGGTTAGCTGGCCGGCTCTGTTGTGATTGGTCAACCGCAAAGAGATGTCCCGCCCCTTAGCCTATGACGTACAATGTGTTGGAACGCTAGCCAATAGAAGCGCAAGTGTTACAAATTGATGTCACTTTGTTCCTGAAGTAAACAAAGGAGTCCAATCGAGGTGTTTCAGGCAGGAGGGGGAGGGGAGAGAAACCTTTGCAGACCATTTACATGCACAAAAACCTATATAACACACTACAGGAAGGAAAAAGGAAAACCCCCATGAAGCAAAATAGGGACTCTTTAAACTAGTCTCCTTTGTGTCATTAATTCAGATTGTTACATTCACAAACATGAGGATGAATGTTCGATTTAAAGTATTGTTTTCTTCCCGTAGGAACAGTCAGATGTTTGAAGAAGCAGAAAAAGAAGAAGAGGAGGAGCGTCTTGTTTCTCCTGAGCCAGATGTTGAACCTCCTCCTGCTGTTGGACAGTCTCTTCCTCAGGAGGAGTCGACACCAGCAGCTCCGTCAGAACAGCAGGAAGCCGGCAAAAGAAGTTTAACAAAGGTTTGTTCAAATCGCATCAAAGTCTTTATCAGCAGAGACGCAACAGAGCAGGAAGTATATATTTTTGTAATGCTTCATTTATAGAGATGTTATACCATATGTCAGACAAGACATGAACATACAGTATGCTACCATCTCAAGGTAAGTATATGTAAGGAAAACAAGTAGAATTAGAACGGAACAAAAAATCGTTTCAATTATAGCCAATAAATATATTAAAATCATGTTCCAGAAGTAAACAAACAGGGCCAAGGTTTGCTTTATATTCCTTAATGAATCAGTTAAGGGTGCAACTGTTATGTTCTTCATCAAGTCTTTGATCAATTGCTTTTATGATGAACGGTTACATTTCTTACATTTTAATTGAATAAAACATCTAGCTAATAGAGAGGATGAGCAAATGGTTTCTGAAAGTGAAGGGGAGATAGAAGCCATCTAGATCCTAAAGTGTATCTGAAGGAGAGGGAATAATAAAACAGCCTTTTTATTTGGTCAAAACCACAACATGTAGTCGCTGTGTTGTGTTGTGGGGATGAAAGAACAACACTTAGCCGCAGCATTAGAGGAAAATGATAGACAACCACGGCCAAAACAAACTTCTCCTCCATTTCCTAGATTGAACTAACCAGGGATTTCTGAAAAGTTCCAAGATGTTCAACTAGAAATGCTCATAGCGGCACAAAAACAGTTTGAATGTAATATCTTAAAAGAGTTCAGACACTGAGGTTGTCAAAATACATGGATTAACTGTGACGCTAACAACATCTGTAATTTCTATTTCTACTTGTCTTAAATCTGAGACTAACTGTGGCTTTTACCGGTTAAAATGATAAATGTCTCTGCAGGTCACATTGTTTATAATGACAGACCAAAACTCTACTGTGCTCCACTAAAGATCATTTGTGTGGAAAGAAGGAATCACATTTAGCTAGATAATCTTTAATGACTATGAGATCAATGTTTTCAGATCGTTTTCAGTCTCTGATGATAAACACACAGTTCACTGATGTTAAGTGCTTTCTGTTTTCCCTCTATAAAGGGAGATTCTGCACAACCAAAAGAAGAAGAAGACAAACAAAATGTCGTCTCTCCGTCTGTAACCAGGACAAGAGTTTTACCCGCCTGGATGATGGCGGCAGCAGCAGCTTCACAAAGCGCCTCCTCCTCCTCCTCCTCCTCCTACATCCCCAAAGGTAACGAGTTCATGTCTTAAAGGTCACCTATTATGCAAAATCCTCTTCTTCCTGTCTCTTCTACATCAACATGTGTCCCTCTTCTTCATGTCTCTTCTACATCAACATGTGTCCCCTCTTCTTCATGTCTCTTCTACATCAACATGTGTCCCCTCTTCTTCATGTCTCTTCTACATCAACATGTGTCCCCTCTTCTTCATGTCTCTTCTACATCAACATGTGTCCCCTCTTCTCCATGTCTCTTCTACATCAACATGTGTCCCCTCTTCTTCATGTCTCTTCTACATCAACATGTGTCCCCTCTTCTTCATGTCTCTTCTACATCAACATGTGTCCCCTCTTCTTCATGTCTCTTCTACATCAACATGTGTCCCCTCTTCTTCATGTCTCTTCTAATCAACATGTGTCCCCTCTTCTTCATGTCTCTTCTACATCAACATGTGTCCCCTCTTCTTCATGTCTCTTCTACATCAACATGTGTCCCCCTCTTCTCATGTCTCTTCTACATCAACATGTGTCCCCCTCTTCTTCATGTCTCTTCTACATCAACATGTGTCCCCTCTTCTTCATGTCTCTTCTACATCACATGTGTCCCTCTTCTTCATGTCTCTTCTACATCAACATGTGTCCCCTCTTCTTCATGTCTCTTCTACATCAACATGTGTCCCCTCTTCTTCATGTCTCTCTACATCAAATGTGTCCCCTCTTCTTCATGTCTCTTCTACATCACATGTTGTCCCCTCTTCTTCATGTCTCTTCTACATCAACATGTGTCCCCTCTTCTTCATGTCTCTTCTACATCAACATGTGTCCCCTGTTCTTCATGTCTCTTCTACATCAACATGTGTCCCTCTTCTTCATGTCTCTTCTACATCAACATGTGTCCCCTCTTCTTCATGTCTCTTCTACATCAACACGTGTCCCCTCTTCTTCATGTCTCTTCTACATCAACATGTGTCCCCTCTTCTTCATGTCTCTTCTACATCAACATGTGTCCCCTCTTCTCATGTCTCTTCTACATCAACATGTGTCCCCTCTTCTTCATGTCTCTTCTACATCAACATGTGTCCCCTCTTCTTCATGTCTCTTCTACATCAACATGTGTCCCCTCTTCTTCATGTCTCTTCTACATCAACATGTGTCCCCTCTTCTTCATGTCTCTTCTACATCAACATGTGTCCCCTCTTCTTCATGTCTCTTCTACATCAACATGTGTCCCCTCTTCTTCATGTCTCTCTCTACATCAACATGTGTCCCCTCTTCTTCATGTCTCTTCTACATCAACATGTGTCCCCTCTTCTTCATGTCTCTCTACATCAACATGTGTCCCCTCTTCTTCATGTCTCTTCTACATCAACATGTGTCCCCTCTTCTTCATGTCTCTTCTACATCAACATGTGTCCCCTCTTCTTCATGTCTCTTCTACATCAACATGTGTCCCCTCTTCTTCTTCTCTTCTCTTCACATCAACATGTGTCCCCTCTTCTTCATGTCTCTTCTACATCAACATGTGTCCCCTCTTCTTCATGTCTCTTCTACATCAACACGTGTCCCCTCTTCTTCCTGTCTCTTCTACATCAACATCAAGTCTCAGGAGAAAAGATTCTCTCTCTTTTTGTCCTGATCCAATTATTTAAAAACCTGTCTGAAAATGAGCTGATCAGATTTTGGCCACTTGATGATGTCATAACGATGTTTTGGGTTGTGTAACCATTAGCCAATCACCAACCAAGGTTACCCCCCCCCCCCCATCTTATCACCTGAATCTCCTCTAGAGCACCATTGTGTTCTTTGTAACCAAATCTCTCTCAGAGGGGCGTGGGGAGGGGCTCCTTATTTTCATCTAAGTAACAGACAGAGAATCAGCACTTTTGAAACAGGGTTGAAACAGAGGGGATTATGGGTAATGCTGCAATGATCTGTTTGGTGTTTCAGCCAATCAGAGACATGTTCTGTATATATCTGAGACCGGTAATATATTGATGAGAAACAGTAGAATAGGAGACCTTTAAGGACTTATTTCTTCATGTGTCTGTCCTCATTTTGAATACTTCAACCTGAACCAGCTAGATCTGTGAGTGTATCCTTGGATCAATCAAGTTTACTTTCTTTTTCAAGCAGCGGAAATGTCTTAAATGTCCGGAGCTTTAACAATAATTTTAAGGATATAAGATTATGTATATTTCTTATCCAGTCTTTTTCATTTTGGAGAGTACTATTGATGTTTGATTGAAGTTTACTCAGAAACTCAGACACAGAAACGTATTGATTTGTTAAATCAGGCCCTTAACATGAGAAATGAAAAGGTTTTATTTATTACGGCGACCTTGAGAGCCTTGAAAGCCTGAAAGGTGCCTTTCTAAATACAATTTTTTATAAAGGCACCTTTCATCTAGTGGCTGAAATATGTTACAGCATTACTACGTCGAAAACTGTTCCAATATAAATATTTCGTATATCAATATTTTAATAAGGTAGGACACTGGTTAATAATATTGTAGCGTGTTCAAGTAACCAAGGGATGTAGTAGTTATCAAATAAGTATAAGATGTGTACAGTTATGTAATGCACTGTTGTTGGGGGGAGAGACCGCCCCTTCCATATGAGTGTGTGTGTACGGCGTGCATGAGGCGTGCATGACGGGACGAGTTGTGTTCGTATGTGGAAAAGTCATACTCAGTGCGGTGAGCGCTGGCTTTATTGCTACTGTATCTGTAGCACCCCACGAAATAGTTGGGACTGTGTACTGACGTCAGTAAAAAAGGTTTTCCCCCCCAATTATTATTATTACTTATATTTAAAAAGCTGAAAATGTTAAATCAAATTAAATAACATCAAGTAGCTCCCATTATTAATCAGAGCAGACTGCTCTTCAATAAACAGGCAGACATTGTAGCTTTTGCTTTCTTGTGATAACTCATCTCATAATCTCTCACAGAATAATTAACTTGTGAGCTGGAGATAACACAGGTCTACAGAGGATTTAGAAGGCTGTCAGGCATTAGTTACAAAGCCTCAAAATACCTTTTCACAATGGGACTGTTTTAAAACACTTGTTCTTTGGTACGTCTTCAGCTCTAATCCCTTGAGTGTCTGAGGGAATGAGGGTCTGTTTCCAGGTGATCTTGTCCAGGTTCACCTGAAAAAAAGCAGACCATCATTGACCTTAAATAACATCTAAACCAGTCTGAGGCGTCCCTTAATCATGATGACTGCTGTGATATATATTTTTTATATATTACCTTTGTTTATTGGGTTAAAACAGCATAATTAACAGCATACAGTTATTCTATCAGAGCATGTATCAAAAGTATAAACAATTCTTCACTTTATAGAAAAATAGGTAGAGTAACAATGTTAATACTGCTTGACACCAGGGCAAACACAATCCCACACAGACAGAAGAAACAGACAAACAGACATTCAAAAAAAGGAATAATAAATAAATAGAAAACCAGTCAGCTAACACAAAAATGTCAATAATAAACATAAATGTCAGTACGGCACCTCCTCCCCAAATGTATTTGAGGAGCGACTGCTGTGGCAGTTGATGAACTGACATAAACAAGAGACTGAATATGAGAGCAACATAGCAGCTAACCTTTCTCTGTATTTTACAATGATCTTTGATGACTAAAGGAGGACGGTAGATCCTCCTCTCCCCTGAGTGTCTGCTGCTGTAATATTTACTCTGAAGGAAAGCAGACGCTCCGTGACTTCTTCTCTGCCTCCATTACTGCGTCCATCCGCTCCGCGCTGCACTTAAAGAGACGAGTGTTCCTGGGAAAAGTGCAAAGATGGAAAAGATCCAGTTTCCTAAGGAGAAACTCGTGATACTCTCAGTTTAGAAACATCAGCCTGCTTTCTTTCACTGAGACTTTTTCACTGATGTGCTCAAATCTAGAGTTTGACTTTGTTGAAACATGTTGGCTGTGATGGAAAGTAATTAAGTGGCTTTTCTTATGTACTTTGATTCAATACAAGTGTGTGTACTTGCTTAATTTATTTGAGTCATTCTAGTTATTTAGTTAATTACTTGATTGGTTAGTTAGTTGCTTACTTTCTTACTTATCTACTAACCTACTATATTACTGACTTTCTTACTTACGGTAGTTATTTACCTACAAGTTACTGACTTAGTTAGTTAGATACTTACTTACCTACTAACATACTAACTTACTTACTTACTTAAGTACTGACTGACCTACTTACTTAGTCAGTTAGTTACTTACTTACTAAATTACTTACGGCGCTTTTCCACTGCAGGACCTAGCACGACTTAGTACGGTATGGTTAGGCCTTGGTTGGCCAGGCTCACTTTATGCTGCGTTTCCATTACAGTTTACCAACTGGGGTAGTAACTATAGTAACGCAGTGTAAGCAGGGCGATCGGCTGTTCGGCGGGCGGAGCGACGCTGCGTAAAACTGCTGTGACGTCATCTTCAATGCGAACCACAAAACCATAACATCAGCCGTTAGCTGTTAGCACTCAGAGCTCACAGCTCCTCATATCTGTTCAGAAAGTAGACAAAAGTTAAACAAGTACAAACCACAGACTGCCTGTGTCATGGCGAATGCAGTCGCTGGTTTATTTATGTCTGTATAGGCCGTTGTTGTGAGCATATACAACGTTAGCTTAGCCTGATCGATCCGATCTCTATTCAGAAAACACGCATTTTAAAAGGTTTTTCGCCTGCCGCCTTTCTGCAGACCGGTATCAGTATGTTGTCACTTCGGTATCATTTTGAAACGTGTATTACAATTAAATCACGGTCAAATATGTTCATTTTGTTGTAGTTGTAGCTAGGGCTGCTCGATTATGGAAAAACCATAATCTCGATTATTTGGGTCAATAATTGATATCACGATTATTAAAAACGATTATCCATTTACTTTGAAAACATCCATTTATTGGAGAATTCTTTTTTGAACAGTATGTTTTTATCAGTTTACCCTGAACTTTAAGTATAATTCAACAGAAAGAAAAAAGTAATAATAATAATAAAAAAATAATCGTTTTATTTCGATTACGTTGTTTTCGTAATCGTTGCAAGCCATAATCGTAATTGCGATTAAAATACGATTAATTGACCAGCCCTAGTTGTAGCCCCCTTGCCAGCGATTCTCTCTGACCATTCAGCAGTCGAGTGGTTACGTCACTAGGTTAGCATACTCAGCCCGGTTGTTGGCCCGGTAAGAACCTCGATTTTGGAGGGCCAGAAAAAAGGTGAAAAAGTAGCCCTGAGCCGGAACTACCCCTAGTGGAAAAGCAAAAAAAAGCGGGCCCGTGCTACGTGCTGCAGTGGAAAAGCGCCATTAGAGACTGACTTACTTTCTTGTTTGCCTACTTACCTACTAAATTACTGACTTACTTACTTAATAACTTACTTAAGTACTTACTAACCACCTTACTTAGTCAGTTAGTAAGTTACTCTACTTTCTTATACTTGCCTACTAAATTAGGTACTTAGTTAGTTAGCTACTTATCTACTAACTTACTGAAGTACTTACTCACTTATTTACCTACTTACCTACTATATTACTTAGTTACTTATCTACTTACCTACTAAATTACTCACTTACTTAGCTACCTATTTTAAATTAAAAGCTTTGTCTTTTATTATGTCTTGTGATCTCTTCACAAAATGAGTGTTGAGTTGAGTTGTTGAGTGTGTGGAAGTGTTAACAATTTCACCAAGAGGACATTTATCCTGTTCAATATTGTTTTACATATTCAGTATTTCACAATATTCAAAGATTAGAGACAAGTCTTTGATAAAAGATTAAAAAAGATAAAGTTAAAAGCAGATGTATTGGTTATTGTACTCCTATCGACGTTGTTTGTTGCTGTTTTTAACATTGAAGGCCACTACATTTTTTGTGCATTTCTGTGAAAAACAAGTTAATCAAAAACAACTTTCGTATTTTCTCCCTCCGTTTACGTTCAATCAGCTTTAAAGAGAGGTAAAGGACCTTCAACCAGCACTAAAGGACCTTCAACCAGCTCTGAAGGACCTTCAACCAGCTCTAAAGGATCTTCATCCAGCACTAAAGGATCTTCATCCAGCACTAAAGGATCTTCATCCAGCACTAAAGGATCTTCAACCAGCTCTGAAGGACCTTCATCCAGCACTAAAGGACCTTCAACCAGCTCTGAAGGACCTTCATCCAGCACTAAACCAGCAAAACAGGCCACGCCCACCAAGACCTCCTCATCTGAAGAGGAGCTCAGCGAGGAGGAAATGCCGAAGAAGAGAAGGAGGAAGATGAGTGATGAAGAGCAGGAAGCCACTCAGTCTAAAACAGTTGAGTTATTAGCGAGTACATGTGGTTATTGAAGTTTTTTTACTGCCCTTTGTGTTTGTTTTATCCCATTAATGTATTAATTGTTAATCCAAATAAGACTTACTCTCAGTCTTGAAATGTAAATGATCTACCTTATATGCTTTACACTTCACTAGGGACAATACGTTTACGTCTTTGTCCGTTCTCAGGATGTTCCTTCAGAGCAGCCTTCAGGTCGTCTTCAGAGCGAATCCAACAGATCTGGGATCAGCGACGAGTCTGACGGCTTCCCTATGGAGGAGGACGAGGAGGAAGGAGGAGCAGGAACATCTGCAGCAAACACCGAAACACAGCCGAGTAAAATCAGTCAATCTGAGGACGAGGAGAAGAAGATGAAGAATGGACGACAGCAGACTAAACGAGCAGATGCCAGACTCAGGACGCCGTGTCCGTACGGGAAGAACTGCTACAGGTAAACTGAGAATCAACACAACAGCTGAGCTGCTTTAGAGCCCAAACAGAGAGTTTTTCTTTGATGTGAGAAGGGGATAAACATGAAACAAGGAACAAATGAAATAAAGCTTCTCTGAGATCTCTCTGCTTTTAGCCTCGAGAGATCCTGCGTCTTCAAGATAAGATAAAGACTCGTCCAAAAACATAACAGCTAAAAAGGAATTCTGTTTTTACAAAGTAAAGAAAATAATCTCACGGATTTACATTTTAAAGCTCCTAAACTAACGACATTCCCTGTAATCAGTCAAAACGTTGTCATTCACAGGATGACGATCAGCCAAGTGTAGAGTCAACCAAATCCCCCCAAAAAGTACACATCTCAAGTTTTATAATTGTCATTTTTTCAAAGCTTTGGCCCTAAAAAACTGACCTTAATCGCGACAAAATAAACACAAAACTGTCTTCATGGATGAGATAAGATAAGAGGTACTTTATTGATAAAAAATTGGGACATTTTTGCGTTGCAGCAGCATAAAAAACAACAAAACAAGGCATTGCACATAAGTAGAAATTAAAGAGTAGAAATAAACAATACTAGAATTTAAACATCTCGAGATACAATTAAAACAGCATTAAAAAGTAGAAAATATACACAAATCGATAAACTCTGACAATAAAACACTAGTGAAGGGCTTTAGACACAATATAAAGCAGGATGTTATTTACATTAAGAGTGTAAATGTAATGTATACAACAAGCAAGATGGAGACAGGTATGATGGGTGACAAACCTTTCGTGTTTATCAAATATTTTAGTGTTATGGTTACTATTATTATTGTCTTGTGATTTTTGCAACTTATATATATAGAGAGATAATATATATATGGAGAATATATTCCATAAATATCTCTAGAAATGCTAATTGTAATTTGTTACACGACCTTAAAAAATAAGTGCTCCATATTTGGAGGAAAACACAAATGGTCATCCTCGAACTGGACAGCTGAACCTTGTATGTAGGCGTGTGGTGCAGTGGGTTGTGCGTTGGTGTTTGGGTCAGGGGGTCACAGGTTCAAACCCCACTGCAGTCAGCATGTCGTTGTGTCCCTGAGACACTTCACCCCAAGTTGCTCCTGTGGGGATTGTCCACAGTATTGAGTATGTAAGTCGCTTTGGATAAAAGCGTCTAACAAGTGATGTGTAATGTAATGTATGTCAGCCTCTGCCTCCGTATGAATGTGTGTGAATGCTGACTTGTATATAATAATAATATATGACACTTATATAGCACTTTTCTAGAAACTCATAGACGCTTGTGTAAAGCGCTTTGAGGGGTTGTAAAGACTAGAACAAAGCTATATGAATGCAATCTATTTACCACCACAGTATGTAGCTCTAAAGGAACATTTTGCCCCAGTTTGTGGTTTAAATTCTCCAAAATGTCCAGTGTTTGGTCCTTTTTTAACGAGGGACACACAGCAGATTGGAAACATGCTGTTCAAATGTTCAATGTGCAGACCCTCCATTATGTTTCTCAAGACCTCTCATCACCTTCCTGTTTGTTTCTGCAGGAAGAACCCGATGCATTTCCAGGAGAGCAGCCACCCCGGAGACACCGACTACGAGGAGGAGGAGGAAGAGGAGGAAGATGAGACACAGGAGGAAGACTTACCCGAGTGTCCTTTTGGCACCGACTGCTACAGGTGAGATATAACAGCATGGACTATAAAAGGAGGGATTGAAAGGCATGATGGGAAACCTGATGAAGCTGATATTAATGGAACAACATTACAAGATGCTCCTTAATAGTGCAAGAGGACAAGCAGGTAAAAAAAACTGCAGAAGAAGAGCGCTGTATCAGAGGTAGAGCTGCACAATTAATCTAATCAAAATCACAAAATTCCATCCATCCATCCATCTTCTCCCGCTTATCCGTGGTCGGGTCGCGGGGGTAGCAGTTCCAGCAGAGAGCCCCAAACTTTCTTTTCCCTGGTCACATCAACCAGCTCTGACTGGAGGATCCCAAGGCGCTTCCAGGCCAGCGAAGAGATATAATCCCTCGACCTGGTCCTAGGTCTACCCTTTGGTCTCTTCCCAGCTGGACATGCCTGGAACACCTCCCTAGGGAGGCGCCCAGGTGGCATCCTAACTAGGTGCCCGAACCACCTCAACTGGCTCCTTTCGACGCGAAGGAGGAGCGGCTCAACTCCGAGTCCCTCCCTGATGACCGGACTTCTCACCTTATCCCTAAGGGAGACACCAGCCACCCTGCGGAGAAAACCCATCTCGGTCGCTTGTATCCGCGATCTCGTTCTTTCGGTCATGACCCATCCTTCATGACCATAGGTGAGGGTAGGAACGAAAATGGCCCGGTAGACAGAGAGCTTTGCCTTCTGGCTCAGCTCCCTTTTCGTCACAACGGTGCGGTAAAGCGACTGCAGTACCGCTCCCCGCTGCTCCGATTCAACGGCCCATCTCACGCTCCATTGTTCCCTCACTCGAGAACAAGACCCCGAGATACTTGAACTCCTTCACTTGGGGTAAGGACTCATTCCCTACTTGGAGTGGACAGTCCATCGGTTTCCTGCTGAGAACCATGGCCTCAGATTTGGAGGTGCTGATCCTCATCCCAGCCGCTTCACACTCGGTTGCGAACCGATCCAGTGAGCGCTGAAGGTCGCAGACCGATGAAGCCATTAGAACCACATCATCTGCAAAAAGCAGTGGTGCAATCCTTAGTCCACCGAACTGCAGACCCCCTCCCCCATGACTACGCCTCGAAATCCGATCCATGTATATTACAAACAGGATTGGTGACAAAGCGCAGCCTTGGCGGAGGCCAACCCTCACCGGAAATGGGTCCGACTTACTGCCGAGGACCCGGACACAGCTCTCGCTTTGGGAGTACAGAGATTGGATGGCCCTGAGTAGAGACCCCCTCACCCCATACTCCTGCAGCACCTCCCACAGTAACTCCCTGGGAACTCGGTCATACGCCTTCTCCAAGTCTACAAAACACATGTAGACCGGATAAGCGTACTCCCAGGCCCCCTCCAGGATCCTTGCGAGAGTAAAAAGCTGATCCGTTGTTCCACGACCAGGACGGAATCCGCATTGTTCCTCCTCAATCTGAGGTTCGACAATCGGCCTGACCCTCCTTTCGAGTACCTTAGAGTAAACTTTCCCGGGGAGGCTGAGTAGTGTGATGCCTCTGTAATTGGCACACACCCTCTTTTTAAAAAGGGGAATCACCACCCCGGTCTGCCACTCCTTCGGTACTGTTTCCGACTTCCACGCAACGTTAATGAGACGTGTCAACCATGACAGTCCCTCAACACCCAGAGCCTTCAGCATTTCCGGGCGGATCTCATCCACCCCCGGGGCTTTGCCACTGTGGAGTTGTTTGACGACCTCAGTGACCTCCCCCCGGGAGATTGGTGTTGATCCCCCGTCATACTCCAGCTCTGCCTCTAACATAGAGGGCGGAGTTGTTGGGTTCAGGAGTTCCTCAAAGTGTTCCTTCCAACGCCCTAACACTCCATCAGTTGAGGTCAACAACGTCCCATCCTTACTGTACACAGCTTGGATGGTTCCCTGCTTCCCCCTCCTGAGGTGTCGGACAGTTTTCCAGAACAACTTTGGTGCCGCCCAAAAGTCCTTCTCCATGTCTTCTCCGAACTTCTCCCACACCCGCTGCTTTGCCTCGGCCACGGATGAGGCTGCTGCCCTTCGGGCCTGTCGGTACCTTGCAACTGCCTCGGGAGTCCCCCGGGATAACAAATCCCTGAAGGCCTCCTTCTTCAGTCGGACGGCTTCCCTGACCACCGGTGTCCACCAGGAGGTTCGAGGGTTACCGGCCCTTGAGGCACCTAGGACCTTGAGACCACAGCTCCCCGCCGCGGCTTCGGCAATAGAGGCTTTGAACACCGACCACTCTGGTTCAATGTCCCCAACCTCCACAGGAATGCCCGAAAAGCTCCGCCGGAGGTGTGAGTTGAAGGCCTCCTGAACTTGGGCCTCCTCCAGACATTCCCAGTTCACCCGAACTACACGTTTGGGCTTACCAGGTCTATCCAGAGGCTTCCCCCGCCACTCGACCCAACTCACCACCAGATGGTGATCAGTTGACAACTCCGCCCCTCTCTTTACCCGAGTGTCCAAAACATACGGCCTCAGGTCCGATGATACGATAACGAAATCGATCATGGACCTTCTGCCTAGGGTGCTCTGGTACCACGTACACTTATGAGCATCCTTATGTTCGAACATGGTGTTTGTTATGGCCAATCCATGACTAGCACAGAAGTCCAGTAACAAACCACCACACCGGTTCAGATCAGGGGGGCCGTTCCTCCCAATCACGCCCCTCCAAGTGTCTCCATCATTGCCCACATGTGCGTTGAAGTCTCCCAGCAAGATTAAAGAGTCCCCTTCAGGAGCCCCATACAGGACTCTTTCCAGGGTCTCCAAGAAGGCCGTATACTCTGAACTGCTGTTGGGTGCATAAGCACACACAACAGTCAGAGTTTTCCCCCCCATAACCCGCAGGCGTAGGGAGGGCGACCCTCTCGTCCACTGGGGTAAACTCCAACAACGAAGCACCTAACCGGGGACTTGTGAGTATCCCCACACCCGCCCGGCGCCTCACACAAAATTGACTAACGCAATATCCAAATTACAGTAAGCGCAATAAAGGCAAAATATATGTAAATATTATTCTGAAATAATGATTGTGGTGCTCCAGAGACTTAATGAAAAATCGTTGTTTGGTGCAGATCCTCCATCCAAAATCAAACCATGATCATTTTATTTTATATTTCCCAATGATAATGTGAATCCATCCATCTTCATCATCTTATCTGGAGCCATATTATAATTAATATGTTTAATAAATGGTAATTTTTTCAAATGTTGTTAATAATATCACAATTGCAATAAAGAGTTAAAATAATCGCAATTCAGTAAATTCTTCCAAATGTGCAACCCTACTCTGGAGGATGTGTTTCAGAGTAAAACACACACACGTCCCACACACACGTCCCACACACACATACGTCACACACACACGTCCCACACACACACACGTCCCACACACACACGTCCCACACACACACACGTCCCACACACACACACGTCCCACAGACAAGTCATTTTAATCAGGGGGTGCGGTAAATTGTCAACGGGGGGAGGGGGGGTGCTCGTGATTTGTCAACGGAGGGGGGACCTCCGACCGCCTGTCAGCGCAACTTCAATGATGCCGTTTAAAAATACATTAAGGGCGGTGCCGGCCGTTCTGTGATTCTCCAGATTCTAGGGGGTGCACCCCTACTTCCTGCAGCTATGCACACACGTCCCACACACACACCCACACACCTACACACACACCTACACACACACACACACACCACACACACACACACACACACACACACCTACACACACACACACACACATACACACACACACACACACACACACACACACACACACACACTTCCCATGTATTTGTATAACATTTTGTTAACCCTAACCCGCAACAATAGGCTAAAAGAATGCATTAAAAAATCCGTCTGTGTTTCACAATGACTTTTTAATGAGAGAAAACATCATTTATTTTTGCCATAGTACTTCTTTTAAGAAAAAGCCGTGACGCTGACTTTGCCTTTTTGTTCCCTGACAGGAAAAATCCACTTCACAGGAAAGAATACAAACACACAAAGAAGCCAGGTAGGATGTTTCACCGTCTTTATTCTTTTAAAATTAAATTGAATAAATGAGTCTGCTCTGGACTAACATAATACATTTTAATAGCAAAAATAGTTCTCCATGCAAGGTGATGAAAGCTTCTTTAAAAGTCATTACCTCAGGTATTATACACATGTGATAGCCTTTAAAATGGCTTAGTTATTTAACATATTCACTTGTTGTAGTAATTTTAATGAATAATAGGGCAGACATGTTTGAATATGATTCATTCGTTTGTTTGATCGTAAGATTCTGCTCATCTTCAGGTTCATATCTGTATGTAGTGTCTCTGCTGTGACATGTCTCCATGCTTTAATGTTCAAAAAGCTCTTTATTCCTCTCATACTGCCTGTGCTGCAGCACCTCTTTTCACCCTCTGTCTGAAACCAGAGCCCAGTCTGCTCTGATTGGTTAGCTGGCCAGCTCTGTTGTGATTGGTCAACCATTAGAGATGTCCCGCCCCTTAGCCTAAATAATTGCATCACAATTTATCCCACTAATCATCAAAATGTCCTTGAAACTCTGAATATGTCACTATGGCACATACTGGGATCACTGTACCAAAGAAACTATTGTTTTTATTGCATTGGAAACATTATTTTATTGAAAAATCAAAATAAAACAAACTTAAAGGTCACCTATCATGCTATTTTTAGGCAATAGCATAGGTCTCAGATATATCAAAAATATATAAAAAAACATGTCTATGAAGTGTTTTGCTCAAAACACCAAACAGATCACCCATTCTAGCCATGCCTCATATCCCTCTATTTCACTTCCTGTTTCAAAAGTGCTGATTTCAAAATTGATAAAATAAAAAAGGAGATGGCTGAGCTCATGCGGGACCCGGCAGCTACTGTCTAAACTAAATGCTGCGGTGATGAAACGCCATATCATGGATTATCAAGGATTCTCTCTGAAACAGTTTGGAGCTCAAAGGCTTTCTCTCTTGTCGGTTATACCACAAGGTGAGTTCCTTTTTACTTCCTGCTTCTTCACACACATGCTCTCCAGCACAGGTTAGCTCTGAGTGTTAGCGATGCTAATGTAAACACCGACCATATTACGTCCAAAACAGTCTGGCATTGTTTCTGATAGCAACGTTTCTGATTGGGCCGTGGGTCCACATTTCAGATATTACGTCATATCGGACGCAAATCTGGATCCGCTCCGTTGTAGCCCCGTTTTTAGAGATTTGGGTACGGAGGAAAAGAGAGAGGGTTTTATTTTCTGACGCTGCGTGAGTTCCCCGACACACCGGGGACACGTCTTTATGTATAATGCATGATAGGTCCCCTTTAAATAATGTCATCATACTGTAGATCATGAGGTGAAGAGTCTGTTCTTTCTTACATGATAATTCCTGAGTTAAAAAACAAATCTTTTCCCACTTTTCTATCATGATTTTAACATGAAAGCGAGCTCAGCATTTCCACAATTATCCCAATAATGGAAACTCACCACAATCTACTTATTGTGAGTGTTTATTATTGCGACGTACATGAGTAGAATGATATACTGAACTGATTGTGCACGTCTTTGAAAACACAAAATGACAGCTATCAAAAGCAAAAAATAAAAGCAATGTACCTCTCTGAAAGGGATTAGCAACCGATTCACAGCCTGAAGAAGAAGAGGCATCACAGGGTCCCCCACACACACACACACACACACACACACACACACATCACCAAATCTGATCAGGATATATAAACTCACAGTGGCCCATTGATTTGTTTTGTTAGCAACCTTTATAATGTAATCAAGAGCCTTTTCGAACATACCCCCCCCTTTTCTGACCCCTCAAACACACACACACACACACACACACACACACACACACACACACCCACACCCACACACACCATTGACTAACCGAACCTCTCAACTGATTTGAAACGTGTCTCTCCTCGGCAGCGTTTGCATTTTGAGGCCTTCAGTTGACATGTACTTAACGCTTATTTACGGACGACTCCCTCGACAATCTCTGGTGATTTAAGACGCCGCCGTGTCTTAACCTCAAGAGACCGTAAAAATGACGCCTCCTTTTCTTTCTTTCTTCCACACTGCTGTCCTTTCACCGATGAAGAAAAAAAGATGTTGATGACTACTGAAGGAAATGCAGTAGAAATCTAAATTATACATCTACATTTTGACATTTAGCTATAGCAGGGATGTCATTAGGGGCCCTGTTGGTATGCTGGGTCTATTATGAAGATTATTATTAAAACTAGAAAGCCATTAGTGAGAGCAAACCTCTGCCTCGGCTGCACATCCTCATTCCTTCTTTTAATGAACAAATAATGGGTTTTCTCCATTAAAAAACACACTTACGTTTAAATAATAATTAGATGTATGTTTGCAAAATGTCTATCTTTCAAGTGAACAGATTGTGAAAATGTTCAAAAGTGCTCCCTTGAAAAATGTAATGTGGTTCATGGATTCGATAATAATACATATCTTATTCTGTATGTATGTGTGTTATACATACAGAAATCTCGAGATACCGTTTCCCGCAGTCCCACAGTGTGACATATATACATAAAACGAAATACAAAAAGGGCCTAGATAAACGGGGTATACAACTAAGTAATAGTATTAATAAGTGCTGGTTAATAATAGAAAAATGTTCAAAGTACAGTTTCAGTGCAGTAGCAGCGGAGATGGGTTGAAAAGTGACTGGTGCTGGATGAGGGAAGGTTGTGTGTGGGGTGGGGGGGGGGGGGGGTTAGAGTCCAGGACCATTTGGGGCAGGGGGGAAAGGTGGGAGGCACGGTGGAGAGGTCAGGGGAGAGATGTGAGAGAGAGAGAGATGTGAAGAGAGAGAGAGAGAGAGAGAGAGAGAGAGAGAGAGAGAGAGAAGAGAGAGAGAGAGAGAGAGAGAGAGAGAGAGATATACTAGATATAGCGAGAGAATAGAGACTCGATATATCTAGCAGCTCCTATGGTCTCTCTATAAATATTAATCTAAAATATGTGAGCCTGGACATGTCCAAGTTGTCCAAAAGGTTTTATAACAGTAAGTGAAAAGCTGGTTACTCATTATATTTGACAAGAAACATTAAAGATGGTTCTAATAGCAATGCTAAATGCTGATGTTTAGCAAGTCAAATACGGTCTGTTAGGTTAGCGTGGATGGCATGCTAATGTGCTAATTAGCAAGTCACAAATGCACAGTACAGCAGAGGCTGATGGGAACACCATTACTTCTGCAGGTTTTCAGTCAAAAAACAAAGTATCTGACTCATTATTGATTACATGTTAGACGCTTTTATCCAAAGCGACTAACATACTCAATACTGTGGACAATCCTCACAGGAGCAACTTGGGGTGAAGTGTCTCAGGGAGACACCGACATGCTGACTGCAGTGGGGTTTGAACCTGTGCTCCCCTGATCCCAACACCAACGCACTAATCCACTGCGCCACACGCCTCACGCCTCCACAAAATGGATGATTTCAAAAATGCTAGCTGTCTACAAAGTCATTACTCAGTTAAATGATTCAGTCCATGGCTTAAAAAAAAAGTGAATTTGACGACAAGTAGTGGCAGTTCCTCAACCAAAAACCTTATTTTAAAAACTGAAATGTCAAACTCTCCCCCCGCTTTCTCTGTCTGTATTTTCTATTCTTTCTACCTAAAGTAAAACATAAAGTTCTGCTGAATTCAAAATGAACTCCAGGAACAGCGGCAGAAACACATTTCTGTTGTTGCACTTTAAGCCTTTTTGTGTTTCCTCCCTGTGTGACTCACTCACTCTGATAATGCTTTTACAGCTCGCTCTACCCGCACCGTCCACAAAAAGGTCGGCGGTGATGAGGATGATGATGATGAAGAGGACGAGTACAACGACAGCTTCATCGATGACGACAGCGAGGATGCGGGCGATGACTCAGACTACACACCTCCTGTTTCTGACGACAGCGGTAAGGAGGACATCAAGGAGTTACAGAAGGAGGCAAAGACCTTCATGAAGACGAGGAAATAAATACACAACGTCTTGATTTTTGTTGTTTGTTTGTTTTTAAGCTGAACCAGACGGATAAAGTGTAAATACAGATTCATGTAAAGGCGGTAAAGTGTCCCAAAAATGACAGATAAAGTTCTAAATGCAGATATTAATGTAAAGTGTCCCAAAAATGCTGGTGTTTGTATCTGATCCTCACTTTTAATAAAATGCAATTTATGTTAGTGTTGAGTTTATAGAATCTGGTCCCAACTGATCTGTCGAAATCCAACAAAAAGCCGTCCTTAAAACCATTTTTTCTGCTTTTAAATCTTATTTTAGATTATCCTGTATTCTGTCCTCAACATCAGAATTTAACAAGAACACAAATCAGATGTTTTCTCAGCTCAGATGTGATGAAATCTAAGCCATGCATTCAGAAACGTTGATATGTGCAACTATCAAAACCCTGAAGTCATTCTTCAGGTGATGCATTTATGTCTTCCTCTTGCTCTCTTCGTCTTTATTTTTGTTTTCCTTCTTCCCAAAAGTAGAACATTAGAGAGCTGATTTCAAAATGCCCTTATCTACGTCCACAGGTCTCATCTATAAGGGGAAAACCATCCAAAAGCTGTCCTTGAAACCAAATTCTCTCCCCCATACCTCAGTTAGCACCTTTTGATTTAATTAGTTTTCTGTCCCTAACATCACATTTAGCAAGAACACAAATCAAGGGTTAATAAGCTCAGAAATCTTGTAAATCAATTAATTTAGTCCTTTATACAACTAGCAAAACAACCTAATACAGCCTCGGTCCTAAGCATTTTATATTCACACATTATGTCAAAAAAGATCATTTTAAAATGCACTCAAGTGCTCACGTAGTAGCTGAAAACTGTCCCTAAGCTGCCCCTGAAACCAAATGTTCTCCCTAAACCATTAGCTTTTAGCAACTATAATTACTCTGTACGTTAGCATCTAACCGGAACCTGAAGTCACTCAGCTTCAGAAAACCTTTTATTTTGTCCCACGGTCCCACGGGCCGTAAGGCAGCTGTCGTCATATTGACCTCAAACTAAACAGTGGACTGCATTAATACAAGTTTCTGCCTGAAAAATATCCCTCTTGCAGCTTTGAATCTATGTTTAATTAATAAATGTTTGAAGTGAAATACACAAGTTAAGGGCAAACTACTAACTGTTCTTTCTAAAGCACTGAAAACGCTATAAAGCTTGGGATTAGTCCATTTTAATTGTATTTTTTATAAGGTTTATTATTTTGTTTAAGTGTTTTTCTCAGGTGAAGCTCCATCTCTTCCTGTCTGGGATTGATTTTACTTGTGTAAATATGTACAATTAAGGAGTAGATCTCTTATAATTGTTACTCTAATATGTTCTTATCCTTTTTGAATACATTTATTGAAAACAAAAAAAGTCTTTCCTGTTTTGTTTTTTATTTCATCGTGATGTTAAACAGAAATGAATCACCAAATGTTTTGACTTGCCTTCCATCACACTCATTTATTAGATTAATCAGCAAGAAAAATATACACTTTACACAAAAGATAGTCACTCAGAGAATATCAGGTCATTCTGATGTAGAGTTTCAAAATAAAACATATTTGATTATCTCATATATGAGCTAACGTCCCTCTATCTTTACATATGAATATATAAAAAACTGTCCATAATCAAAGACACATTTGACTTCAGGGGGATAGCAGACCATCTTAAATATTCACTCAGAGGATATCAGGTCATTCTGATGTACAGTTTCAAAATAAAACATATTTGATTATCTCATATATGAGCTAACGTCCCTCTATTTTATAGCTTTATTTGTTCGTTGAAAGGCAAATCATTTTCTTTCAAAATTCTGTAAAATGATGCAATAATGTGTTCATCTCTTTCATGTTAAAGCTGGTAAAGGTGGAGCTAATTGAAATTACTTTAATTTGCTGGGTAGCTTAACCTATAGTGATATATACTTCTGAAGCAATTGGAAACAGGACTCGGAGAGACACGAGGAGAGCTGGAAACACTGACGGTTTATTTGGAGCTTCGGCCGGAGAATTCACAAGACATGTCACGGGACCACACGGGTTAAGATGCCACAATCAATTCTGAAGCACTCTTCTGTAGTTCGAAGTTTTAACTAGTTCAGAGTAGGGCTGCTCAATTAATCGTATTTTAATCGCAATTACGATTATGGCTTGCAACGATTACGAAAACAACGTAATCGAAATAAAACGATTATTTTTTTATTAGTCTTTTTTTTTTTTGGTTTTTCATTTGAATTATACTTAAAGTTCAGGGTAACCAACTGTTAAAAACATGCTGTTAAAAACATTTTTCTCCAATAAATTGATGTTTTCAAAGTAAATGGATAATCGTTTTTAATAATCGTGATATCAATTATTGACCCAAATAATCGAGATTATGATTTTTTCCATAATCGAGCAGCCCTAGTTCAGAGTGTAACAATCAACATCCTTCATCAGCGAGACTAAACACATATGGACCCTGAATCTAACTAGAACTGTCGTCCATAGAAAATATGCGCCAGGGAGCCTACGTTCCTAAAAAGAAGGGCTGCTAGATGTCCCTGAACAGTAAACTATCTCATGGCAGCTTGTGCTCGGTCATAAGCTGGCAACAACAACAACAACAACAACAACAACAACAGCGAGACTAAACAAATATGGACCCTGAATCTAACTAGAGCTGTCGTCCATAGGAAAGAATGTGCGCCAGGGAGCCTACGTTCCTAAAAAGAAGGGCTGCTAGATGTCCCTGAACAGTAAACTATCTCATGGCAGCTTGTGCTCGGTCATAGACTGGCAACAACAATGCGCCCAAGCTGCCCCTGCTTAAGAGAGATAGCAGAAATACCCAAGGCAGTAGAACTTATGCCATGGGAAAGGAGAAGAGAAAATTATGAACTGTGTTCAACTGTGAATACCTAAGCAAATTATTCCCCAACAATAATAATAATAATTCATTCTATTTAGAGGCACCTTTCAAATCGCCCAAGGACACCTTACAATTCCTAACAACTTAATGAATATTATTTTATATAATAAAGAGTAGGGGATAGATGCATCCAGAGAGCGTCACAGAAACGTCACCACATATATTATTAACACACAGGGAGTTAATCCACACACTCAACATCAAACCACTTCCTATTTCATCTCATTACTTCCTGCTGGAGAAACAACAAGTCATTATATTTACTCATTACAAACAAACATCAGTAAAGGCTATGACTCTGCAAATTAGCTCAGGGATGTTGAAATGTTTCTTTATTCGTTTGGAAAATTGTCCCTTTTTTAACCCCCAATTTACCATCTCGGATCAGCTGGAAAATGCTTCGTCGGGCAGTGAAAACAGAGCTGTTTTACTCGATGAAAATCGTGTCAAAATTGCTTTTTAGAGATTTGTGACGACACAGAATAAAGCTGCAAACATATTTTAGAGAATATGACGCATATAAAGGAGTTCAAAATGAACACAATCATAAACATCTACAGTAATAAAATGTAACATACACATTAAAACAGCAGTAATATTAATCCCAAAACATCAAGCAGTACAACACTGACAGGCAAGTTATTACTACACAATAACTACTTTACTAACATTTATTGTAAATGCAGGACTTTTACATGTCAGAGAGTATTTTCAAAGTGTACTTTCACAGGTCTGGTTATTTCTTCCACTGCTTCTATCACTGAGAACAATTCAAAAGAAACCTCTCCAAATGTTACGGGTCTAAATTTGAAACCTAAAAACATTATTTATTTACATCACTTAGCAAAAGGGGAATTTCAGGTTTGAAATACAATGAAATCAGATGCAGTAGAATCCAAACTGAGAGTTAACGTGATTATAAACGCCTTATCAACATTTATCATTATTGTATCAATTAAATAATAACCCCCCCACTTGTCTCTGGCTGCAGACGTGCATTCGCATCATGTTGCTCTAAATCACGTGTCAAACTCAAGGCCCGGGGGCCAAATCAGGCCCGTGGTGGATTTAATTTCGGCACGCAGGATCATTTCTAATTACTATTAGATCTGGCCCGTCGGTATATTGCACGCACCACCTTCACTCCATCCTGAGGGTTTCCTCAGCTCAGAGCCTGAGCCCAAACATTGATGAACCTGCACCCAAGATGAGATGCCAAGTATCTGAACTAGCATCACAGAGCAGCACACTGAGTTTCAATGGATGTTTCCTTGTGCACTTTTTTTCTTGCGACAACAGGGCATGATTGGTTTTTTTCTTTGAGGGAAATAGTTTTTTGAAGCTGTTGTTGGCCTGTGGGAAAATGTAATCATAAGAAATGACTCTGGAAAAGCTGCAGATAGAGCCATAAGAAATGAATGCAACTGATTATTTAATGCCTGTGAGGATCTATAGAGCAGCAATTGTTTTTGTGTGACGCAACACAGAGAGGCGGCTGTTCCTTCAAAACAACAGTGATGGTATGTTTTCATCGAAAGAAGATCAAAGAATGGCACTGAAGGCTTTCCTCGATGAAGAAGACGGTTTTTAATCTTCTCCTAGTGGACTTTCTCAAGAGTTTGACTGACAATTGATTCATCCAATCACCTGCCAAGTATTTTTTACTTGAGTGCCTTTTCCAAACAGTTTATAATGACATCTCAGATGCTTTTGTACTTGGAAGTGCCTCCATCTCCCGATTGGACGATACGACTTTGAATGATGCCATGTTGGCGCCTCTTTGATGAGATTCTGGATGTTTAAGCAGATCTTGTAGTTATTTAATTGCTCTTTTACTGCACTGTTAGTGTACAGTTGTATTATTATAATGCTGCTGTGTTTATTGTATTTTTGTAACTTTGGCACAACAATTTCCTTCGGGATAAATAGAGTCCTATCTTATCTTATCCAGTGTGCTGTTAAAACAGCCCTATATTTGACGTCCTATGTCCTATATTTTGACTTCAGCCTCCCTCCCTCCGTGTCGTCCGTCACTCGGAGAGACAAAGTCCGTGTCTCGGTTTCGACCGAAGACTTTGCCGGAACGAAAGTCACCAGCCTCAGGGGGAACTTTCCCGCCTTCTTCAGACGCTTGGTGTTTTTTCGTACGCTCATAAAGCAGAGGGTGTTGATGACCCCGTTGCTCATCGCGAGGCACTCGATGATGTAGAAGACCACTAAGGAGTTCCTGTCCCTGGATATAAGGGTGGGGTAAAAGTCCCTCAGTAGGGCGTAACCGTAATATGGCGCCCAACACAGGATGTAGGCGACCAGCACCAGAATCAGAACCACCACCGTCCTCCGTCGACTCTGCAGCCGCTTCTGGATCTGCTGCGTCTGGAAACCGGGAACGTCTTTGAACCAAAGCTCCCTGGAGATCTGGATGTAGCAGACGGCCATGACGGTTACCGGGACCATGAACTCCAGGGCGAAGATGAGCAGGAAGTAGGAGCGGTAGTAAAGCTGCTGGTCCACGGGCCAGATCTGAGCGCAGAAGGTCTTGTGGGAACGACCCTCCTTGTGGGGGTACTTGGTCTCAGAGAACATCAAGGCGGAGGGGATGGAGATGAAGATGGGGACGATCCAGACGGTCAGGATCACGCAGTACGCCGTCTGGTGCTTCATACGAGGCCTCAGAGGGTAGAGGATGGCCATGTACCTGCACACAGGAAGAGAGAAACACACTGAGATCCAGAGTGGGCAAAAGTACACACATCATTTACTCAAGAAGTACAGATACTCGTGTTTTAAAATACTCTGGTAAAAGTAGAAGTACTGACTAAACTTCTTTACTCAAGTAAAAGTAAAGAAGTATGGGCTTTGAAATGTACTTCAGTAAAAAGTCCCCATAACTAGCAGCTGTTTTAAAGAGTACCTGACCTCCCTTTATATTAATAGAACAATAATGTCATTGTTAGCTAATGAATGTTTCCATCCTGAACAACGGCAACATGACAACGTTTTCATTGGTCCCTCTTCTTTAGAGAAGACCAGGAAATGATGGATACACGGATCGTGTTCAAATCAATAGGCACGTAATGACTCTAAATAATAATGATCACGCCACCAAACACACATTCAGACTAAAGGAACCAGCCTGTTTGGAAAATGTAAGAAGTAGAAAGTACAGGTATTTGGGTTCAACATGTAAGAAGTAGAAAGTAAAAAGTAGTCAGAAAAATAAGTAGTGGAGTAAAGATGGCCATGTACCTGCACACAGGAAGAGAGAAACACACTGAATCAAACCTGAAATTCCACTTTTGCTAAGTAATGTAAATAAATGTTTTTCTGAATCAAACTCTCCGAAGGACCAATTAACGCACATGGGGTGTGTTCGGCCTGACCTGGAAATGTGAGGAATATTTTTCCACTTTAGTTTTAGCCATTGAAGACACGTACACAAGTTTTTGTAAATATAGCTTTTATATGCAGTTAGGTATTTTGTTTACTACCTCACAACATTTAAGTTCACTGACAATAGAGGTTTAGTAAAACTCTAAAAAGAGTATGACTCCTTATTAGATGAATGAAGCAACATGACATTCAGTGGTGGCATAAATTGTTAAAATAAAACAGGAAATTATACACACACAAAACTAAAATCATTACAAACATACCCATGAACAGAAAATACCCCTGAATACCCATGCACCTGCGGAGAATGCTGTAGAAGTGAGAAGTTAAAAGAATAGCTTTGCTAAAGCTAAACATAGCCTGAGGATTTAAGCTTGATCGAGACATTATTGTGCACCGAAACAGGAACCTGTTCCTTTTGAAGTCTGCACACATCTTGAGGCTGAGCTTCCAGTTTATTTGACCAGTGACTGCTGTGTTGAACATATTGAACTGTTGCTGACAGTCTCTTTCAGTCTGACTTCACCACTACAGCTTTTCTCTACGTACAAAAACCATTTATACATAATAACAGCTATTTATAAAGAGGACTTCTGAAACCTAAAAGCTTGAAATACTTTTCAAACCAAGAGTAGTCCTTTCAGACATCTGGTTGTATACAAGCACAATTTTGTGGCAGGACATAACAGACTTTTGAATGGTTATTGTTTGATACCATCATAATTTCCTAAAGCACGAGACCCTCTAAGACTACTAAGATATCCAGAAAATAATCATTTAAAATAATTCACATTTGAGAAGCTGGAACCAAAGCACAATTCTTATAATTAAATGGTACTTAAAAGAAATGCTAACCAACCAATTAACTCATTGTTTCAGCCTTGGTAATGATTTAATAATTGTCAGGATGCGTGGAAAAGGTAGGATCCAAATGCAGAATTTAACAAAAAAAGCGAGCTTTATTAAATAACAAAAGCTGTGGCAAAAAGGCAGTATCCAAAATATCCAAAAACAAACGAGCAGCACAAGGAACACGGACCGTGGAATAACATGGAGGGGAAACAATGAACCGACATGGAACACAGGGGAAGACTAGACTAACTACACAGAAGGGTAATCACAGGACAAGACACAGCTGGGAGAAACAAAAGGGCAACAGGTGAACACAATGAGACAATCAGACACACCAGGGAAACTAACGACAGGGAGGAGGACCAGACAAAACACAAGGAGGAAGACAAAACACCGAATGAACAGACTTACAAAACCCATAACCAGACAGACAACACTAAAACCGTGACATAAACCTGGGTGTGTGACAATCTAAAATGTATCAACATCTCCAGTAGCTTAAGTAATTACACCTTTCTCAAGAGGTTTTTCAGGGCTGTTTTCCACTTTGAGAGGAGACATTTTAATCAAGAAGCTGAGGTAAGTGTTGAAAACAGCTGGAGCCTCACTTTGGGAACGACCAGAAAAACTATAATTTGTTGATTTGATGGATTAAGCTGTATATTAGCTGCACACTTGATGCACAGCTGGGACACAATGAGACCCGGGCCCTTTCTCATTTCTCTAACTCCCCTCCTCGACTCCTATCCTCAAGACTTAGTCCCGCCCACAGGAGATGCGAGCAGAGGAGCCGAGGAGGGGAGCCGAGGAGAGAGGAGGGGAAGCAGCAGGCGGTTAGAGAAAGGAGAACTCCTCTCCTCTGAGCGGTCATTTTAAAGAGACGTCCATTAATGATGACAGGAGGCACAGCAGCCCTCTGTCTGATGGACAGATGTGTTCATGACCACTTATATATTTACTTTTAATTCATTCACAGTGCAGTATAATGAGACAATAACAGGCTACAGATGCGGACACACACACACACACACACACACACAATTTCAGAATCAAACAGAGCACTCTCATAATAACGTAACAATATCAGAGACTGGATATATCCCCCCCCCCCCCCTCTCTGGTCGCTACAATGAGGAAAATAAATTACAGGCCAAAAGTTTTATTTACAAGTATTAAAAGTAAGCAGAGGACACCAAACCAACTGAGACCTGTCTGTCCGCTGCATCTACGCACTGTACAACACACACACCTACACACTGTACAACACACACACACCTACACACTGTACCACACGCACCGACAGCTCCTAAAGCATATAATCAGGCTACAGCCGTTGTGTATTTTATTTTGTGAAGCACTAAATTGTTTTAGAAAAATATCGACTCGTTGTTTGTAGATATCTACTAAACTACAGCAAATAAAGAGAGTAGGCCTGTTATACTGAGTGATATATATTATACACACTGCTCTGCTTTCTGCACGGACCTCACAGCTGTTCTCTCTGGAAACATCAAGTCCGATGAAAGCAGTTTCTAAAATAATATCCAGTGGATGCATGCATAGCTGTCATTGGCTGAGATAAGTCCGGCCGTGCGTCACGACTCTTTGAAACATCTCTGTTCCCGGAAATGCATCCGCGAAGGAGCCGTGGAGGACCCATCAGTGTATCCTCGGTTATAGCTCCTCGACGCTCTATGCTCGATCCTCGGTCCTCGAAGTGCATTTAGAGAAATGAGATGTCCTTCAACATGGCGCGCTAAAATTCATTTCCGGGTCACTACCGAAGGACCGAGGAGTCGAGGAGTCTAGGAGGGGGATTTGATAAAATGAGAAAGGGACCCAATGGCAGATGTTCAGCTGGTCTACGGACTAACGAGGGAAACTGGAACCACTGTGACTGTCCCGGATGAACAGAGATGATCCATCTTCTCTCCCTGCACATGCTGTTTATAGATGACGGAGGTTGTCAGCATTGATAAATGGAACATAGAGGGCTGCTTGTCATAAAGTGTGAGCGTCAGCCGATGATGGATCTGGTTCAGGAGCTGAGAGAAGGCCCTGAAGATGCTTTTATTGTAGGCAAACGTAAATCATCAAAAGAGATCTGTTCGATGTGGAGCAATCGTTAAATTGCCTATTTTTCTGGCAATAAAAGTTCTGAACTTAAGCCAAAGAGGAGTCTGTCCTTTTGTACTTCGCTACAGACTGCTTGACACTCTGTAACGATTTACCTTCTTGCAAGAATAAACTCCCTAAAAGTCTTATTCCAAGAATCTTCATTTCAGCATAACGTAAGGTTTCCTCACCATTTTATTAACTGTTAGTTAGTCTCGATACATTTCCGCCACACTCTTTAAAGGTCCCCTATTATACTGTTTTTCATCAATATATTACAGGTCTCAGATATATACAAAAACATGTCTTTGAAGTGTTTGGCTCCAAACACCAAACAGATCATTGCAGCATTACCCATAATCCCCTCTGTTTCAGGCCTGTTTCCAAAGTGCTGATTCTCTGTCTGTTACTTTAGATGAAAACAAGGAGCCCCTCCCCACGCCCCTCTGAGAGACATTTGGTTACAAAGAACACAATGTGCTCTAGGAGGAGATTCAGGTGATAAGGTTGCTGATTGGCTAATGGTTACACAAGCCAAAACATTGTTATGACATCATAAAGTGGCCAAAATCTGATCAGCTCATTTTCAGACAGGTTTTTATATAAATGGATCAGGACACAGAGGGGACACATGGTGATGTAGAAAATACGTGACAAATTTGATTTTGCATAATAGGTGACCTTTAAACTCCATGATGAAGGTGCAGTTGTCTCACCTGTCCACAGCGATGGCCAGCAGAGCGTTAGTGGATACGTAGAGGGAGACGGTGCGCAGGTAGTTTGTGGCGGCGCAGAGAAGAAGCCCGTGATCCCAGGACAGCTGCTTCACCACGTAGTAGTCGAGCAGAAACGGGCAACAAACGGTCGCCACCAACACGTCCGAAACAGCCAGGTTAGCGATCAACAGGTTGGTGAGATTTCGGAGCTGCTTGTAGCGAGCGAGGCTGGCGATGAACAGACAGTTTCCCACGCCACAAACCAGCATGATGCCCACCAGAACCACCGCGATGACGATGGTGGCCACGAAGAAGGCTCGGCCCTGGGTGGTGTCCGGGATCTCGTCCAGAGGAATCTCGTAGTCCAGGACGTCGCCAGACAGGAAGTAGTCCGGTAGACCCAAGCTGCTGTTGGTCCTGTTGTCCATTTTTGATTTAGGTCAACATGCTGAGGTGGGAATGCCTGCAGGAAAGTGCATCATTAAAAATCATAAAATAAAAAATCAGTAACGCAGAATAAACAGCAAGTAAAAAAGCATATTAATCAGAAAATCAACAACTACATGATGACTTTTCTACTATAATAAATCTACTGTTTCACGGTCAAGAATGAACTTCTAAGCTCAGCTTTTAAAGAGGAAATATTCTGCTAATTTTCAGGTGTATATCAGTATGTCGTGCCTCTGCTCTTTATTCTCTCATACTGCCTGTGCTGCAGCAACTCTTTTCACCCTCTGTCTGAAACCAGAGCCCAGTCTGCTCTGATTGGTTAGCTGGCCGGCTCTGTTGGGTTTGGTCAACTGCTTAGAGATGTCCCGCCCCTTAGCCTATCACGTACAATGTGTTAGAGCCCTATCCAATAGAAGCGCGAGTGTTACATGGTGATGTCACTACAGTATGTTCCAGAAATAGAGTCCAGTGGAAACTTTTCAGCAAGGGAGGAGAAACTCACTTTTTAGCCTTTGCAGACCATTTTCATGCACAAAAACCTATATAACACACTACAGGAAAGAAAAAACAGCATCTTGAACAAAAATGAACACCAGGAGATAACAAAGGATTAAGGATGGAGAGTTATTTTTGTTTGCGAGTTGAATGAGAAGATTATTTGCTCTTGTGCGTCAGTGAAACATTACTGCTTGACTTTCTGTAAATCACCACGGCACCGACTCTGACACTTTTACCGTAAAGACTCTAGATACAGTGTTGGACACACAGAGAGCTGTTTGGCCGCTCAGTGTGACTCCAGACCTCTGAGAGCTTTGACTCACGTGTTTCGTAGTTTTGCTGATGGCGTTGCTAGGTTACAGTGTTCATGTGTAGTCCTCTTGTTAGATTTGTCCGCAGGTCGGGGAATGTCTCAGCTCTGACATCTGAAAGAATCTTTTACTGCCCGACACAAGAGGTTTGTTTACCAAGATTTATCAAGAGAGGAATTAAAGTCAAGCAAAGTTATTGATTCCACACTGTCAAATCACTCTGTCACAAGAAAAAGTAATGCATTGAAAATGTGTCTTAAGGACGATTTTGTAGTGACAGTTGAAGTCGCTTATTTGTACAGCTAATGGAAGTATTAATTCATACCTGCTGTAGAGATATTAAATAACATTAGATTATATTAGATTAAAACAGGGGATCCTTAATCAATTTGACCAGACTATGGAAGTGTTTTATTGACCAATTAATAGATGAAGGGATGATGAAAAGATTCCTATACCGGATCTCCTCTCTGGTAAACAAAAACACCCTGAAAACTCTGGCAGGAGCACTCATTCAAGGGTACTATGACTATGCTTGCACGTCATGGTACCATAGCACCTCCAAGGCGCTAAAAATAAAACTTCAAACATCGTAAAATAAACTGGTCAGACTACTGCTTGACCTCTCATCTAGAACCCACCTCACCTCTGCCCACTTTGACAACCTAGGATGGCTTAGAGTAGACGACAGAGTACAGCTACTTGCAATGGGCCTGGTCTACAAGATCCACTACACCTCTATGGTACCCATGTACATGTCAAAATTCTTCCCAAAGGTCAAGGAATACCATGATCATAACACCAGAGGGAGCTCCACAAATCATGTGAAACCCAGATTTGGCACAAAAAAGGGGGAATACACGTTTCGCAATTATGCCACATCAAGGTGGAACGCTCTTCCCACAACTGTAAAGGAAAGTAAAACTATACTTACCTTCAAAACCTCTCTTAAAGAGCACCTTCGGGGGAGAGCATTGCAAAACTGGCCCCGGTAATGGTACAAATCTCAACCTGTCGTTCAATGGACAGCTTCCCCCCCCCCCCCATCTATGTATATACTCGCATTTTAGACTCTGTTACTAACTGTATATCTGTAGACTTGGTATGTCTTAAATGTCCGGTTAGGATGTATTAGAACGAAATCTAAAATGAAAATTGTAAACAAGCAATCTGTATGTAAAAAAACCACCTGTATGTAAATTGTAAATAAGCCATCTGTATGTCAAATATGTCTTATATGTCTTAAATGATATGATGAATTGGAAATGGGGGACCCTGATGTAAACAAGACGAAAGTCTTTCTCTGGTCTGCATCCCCTTAACAATTGTATGTTTTGAGCTGTACTGTACTGTACCCAATATACAAGCTGTTAATAAACTTTTCAATCAATCAATCAATCAAAAAAAATATATATATTAAGATTCATGACGCATATTAAAGAGGACCTATTATGCATTTTGAGGTTTAGTTTTGTTTGCATGTAATGGTCTTTAAAGCCTAAAATCCCTGTGTTCCCTCCAGAGGGACTTTCTGTCCACACTCCCCCCCCCCCAGGTTGTTGAGGAACAGGATGTAGAGAGGCGAAGTCCCTCCCCTTCCGGGGGACCTCCATGGGACCTTATTTCGGAAAAATCATGTATTGAATTCAATGGAGAGAGAAGATTATCTTTCGATCCCGTTTGAGTTGTACAACGAATTACACATATGATGTTTGTCAATTTAAAAGATAATTTTGCAAGTCAAATTTTTTTAAATGTGTCGTAAAACTGTGAAGTAACACTTTTGTTTGTGTGAAACCGCTCAATGAACTACAACTCTGGTCTTGCACACGTCACCAACACCAAGATGGCCGTCACGTTGGCACATTTCACCTCTTTCTTTCAGAATGAAGTGAAAAGTATTAAAGGTGAAAATCACTCCAAGTCTGGGCATGTTGAGAACTGTACATACACGAAAGGGGAGTTAGTTGGTTCCGTAAGAGCCAGCATGAGGGACCGGCTTTACAAGGTTTCGGTGAGTAACACGAGTGTAATGTGTAACGTTAATGTACGTGACTCTGGGATTTGTAGTCTTTCTAGTTGCGTATTTTTCATAGACTTATATTTCAACAGTTTTAAGACAAACTGTGACTTTTTTTACATCGAAATGATTTTTTAAGATATCACTATACACTCGCGAGCATTGTACTTGATAGGCTAAGAGGACGGACATTTAAGCGGTTGACCAATCACAACAGAGCCAGCCAGCTAACCAATCAGAGCAGACTGGGCTCTGGTTTCAGACAGAGGGTGAAAAGAGGTGCTGCAGCACAGGCAGTGAGAGAAATATAGAGCTTTTTGAACATTAAAGCATGGAGACATGTCACAGTAGAGACACAAATGCTGATATGAACCTGAAAATGAGAATAGTATGTCCTCTTTAAAAATATGAATGATCACATTGACAAAGTTGACATAAAAGATCATTGTTTAATCATGATTTATAATACATTCCCCAACGATATAAATTGTAACTCAAAATGTTTTCTACCAGAAACAAATGAAAAACACTTAAAATTACATGATATTGTTAGGTTTCTGAGAATAACTAGTGCGATCTAATGAAATGTGAATGCCATTTTTCAATACTTGATAATTTAATTTGTTTCATCATTAAACTAATATTGCATCTGCTTATTTCATAATAGTAAGACGTTCCTTAGTAACACTGTTCTTGGGTATTTGTTTAAGATTCATTGTTTGGGTAAACAACAAGCACAAAAACGGATTAACTAAATATTATTTTGTAATGGTAATATGTCATTATACATTTACAGATTATTATCCAATGTAACTGTCATGACTTGAATCAAAACGTGAGTGTCACTCTAGAAACGATATTACGTCTTAATTGTGATAATAAGAAACTTATAATAATACAATATTTTTATTTTATTTCAAAATATGTTTTACTTGAGGTGTTTCCAAATCTCTCTACGACCCGTTAAGGTCACCTGGCAACTCGTCAGGTAGGCCTATATATCGATTAAAAATAAGATATGAAACAAACAACAGTAGGCTATAAGAAATGGATGAGATCCGGGACGGAAACTTATAAATACTTAAAATTACAATATTAATCTTTAACAAAATATTCCTGCAGGAATCACGTTCTGAACCATGTCAAATTAAGGTAAATTACGCACAGCCATATGCGTCTTTATAAATATCAAATAACCTTTAGAACAAACAGAACGTTTTTCGGTCTAAATCTACGTTTAAATAAAAAAAAGACATGCAGGTTTCTCCGTGATCCTCCAACTGACCTCTCACATCATTAATTGAAAGCCTAATTAAATTAAATCACACAATTGAATACATAAAAGGGCGAGCTGTCTGAACACTAAGGTTTAATTTAAATAAAGGAGATAATATTCTCGGTTACAGACCTGGAGCTGCTCCTCCGCGCGCTCTGATGGACTGAATGACAGAAAGATCGCGAGGCGCGTTCACGTCATCTAGCGAACCAACACGCACACATATATGGACTCGCGCAAGGTGATCAATAAAGCCGATCTAGAGAAAGAAACAAACCAACATCTCATAAAAAATTCAGAATTTCCCTACGGGGATGATTAAAGGTCCATCTTGTCTTTAAACATGACTGATTATAAATACTTACAGTTTATACGGCTGAAACTATTTGTTTTAATCAATCAAGCCACTTTAAAGATGACTATAGGGAGCAATTCGATGTTTTAAGTCATTTGTCAAGTCAAACATCTCATTATCTAGTTCACAGATGTGAGGGTTTGCCGCTCTTCCTTTTGAATAATGTTAAACTTGTAATGTGTTGTTATAATATTGAGTTTTGGACCGCTGGTTGGAAAGTCAAATATTGTTAAAGTGTCACTTTGGTCTCTTAATTATTAGTCCTAAATGAGCTCCACGTCAACAGACTACCACAGTCAAATCCTTTTATTTTTTTATAAATGCACGAGTAATAATAATCTGATGTTACAAAATACAAAAGGAGGGACACTTACTATACTTTTTATGTGAATGTTCCTGATTATACTCACATATAAACACCTAGGCATAGTGCTGCCATCTGCTCCTGTGATAGCTCCTGCTACAGTAGGTATTTTTGTCATTATGACACACTCACACACAATAATTAATAGAGTGCCTCAAATATGTCTCATCCATTTGGACAAGTCTTCTTCCAAATTGCTCAACAGGAAAATAACAATGCGCCTCGCTGCAGACATGACATCTTGACAGATCCTCAGTTTGTGGGGTCATTAGAGGTCATGCATTTAATGTACAAATGCCTCCACGTATTCCATTCAACATGTCCTCATTACTACTCGAGGTCAGATTAGAGCAGGAGTTAATTATGAGAAGGAGCTTGGCAACATTTCTGGTCCATGTCACATTCAGGATTTGAAGAGTCTTAACATCTTCAAGACGTATCAGACACAGTACAGTCCAATTAAAACAGGATGTTATGACAGAAATGACTTCAGAACAAGTGACATTCAAAACCCTTTCTTCAGTAAAAGTATGAAGAATGATCAGCAAAATGTCCCGAGGAAAAGACTTCCCTTTGCAGTCAAATGTTTCCCGTCAGTGTTTCACTTTTATTATTCTGGATTAATATTCCTGCTAGAATCATGTGTATGTTGCATTTCACTGCGGTAGAAGATTAGTCATTTTTACTCATTCAGTTTGAAAAATGTTAGGCGTTTGTGGCGTAAGGGACGGGACATCTCTAAGCGGTTGACCAATCACAACAGAGCCGGCCAGCTAACCAATCAGAGCAGACTGGGCTCTGGTTTCAGACAGAGGGTGAAAAGAGGTGCTGCAGCACAGGCAGTATGAGAGGACATAAGAGCTTTTTGAACATTACAAGGCATGAAGACATGTAGCAGACACTACATACTGATATTTACACCTGAACATCAGCAGGAGAGGACTCGTTTAAAGTAGAGACACTACATGCTGATATACACTCTGAAACATCAGCAGGCAGAGGACTCTTAAAGTAGCAGACACTACCTACTGATATACACCCTGACATCAGCAGGAGAGGACTCTTTAAAGTAGAGACACTACATACTGATATACACCTGAACATCAGCAGGAGAGGACTCTTTAAAGTAGAGACACTACATACTGATATACACCTGAACATCAGCAGGAGAGGACTCTTTAAAGTAGAGACACTACATACTGATATACACCTGAACATCAGCAGGAGAGGACTCTTTAAAGTAGAGACACTACATACTGATATACAGCTGAACATCAGCAGGAGAGGACTCTTTAAAGTAGAGACACTACATACTGATATACACCTGAACATCAGCAGGAGAGGACTCTTTAAAGTAGAGACACTACATACTGATATACACCTGAACATCAGCAGGAGAGGACTCTTTAAAGTAGAGACACTACATACTGATATACACCTGAACATCAGCAGGAGAGGACTCTTTAAAGTAGAGACACTACATACTGATATACACCTGCACATCAGCAGGAGAGGACTCTTTAAAGTAGAGACACTACATACTGATATACACCTGAACATCAGCTGGAGAGGACTCTTTAAAGTAGAGACACTACATACTGATATACACCTGAACATCAGCAGGAGAGGACTCTTTAAAGTAGAGACACTACACAACTGATATACACCTGAACATCAGCAGGAGAGGACTCTTTAAAGTAGAGACACTACACACTGATATACACCTGAACATCAGCAGGAGAGGACTCTTTAAAGTAGAGACACTACATACTGATATACACCTGAACATCAGCAGGAGAGGACTCTTTAAAGTAGAGACACTACATACTGATATACACCTGAACATCAGCAGGAGAGGACTCTTTAAAGTAGAGACACTACATACTGATATACACCTGAACATCAGCAGGAGAGGACTCTTTAAAGTAGAGACACTACATACTGATATACACCTGAACATCAGCAGGAGAGGACTCTTTAAAGTAGAGACACTACATACTGATATACACCTGAACATCAGCAGGAGAGGACTCTTTAAAGTAGAGACACTACATACTGATATACACCTGAACATCAGCAGGAGAGGACTCTTTAAAGTAGAGACACTACATACTGATATACACCTGAACATCAGCAGGAGAGGACTCTTTAAAGTAGAGACACTACACACTGATATACACCTGAACATCAGCAGGAGAGGACTCTTTAAAGTAGAGACACTACATACTGATATACACCTGAACATCAGCAGGAGAGGACTCTTTAAAGTAGAGACACTACATACTGATATACACCTGAACATCAGCAGGAGAGGACTCTTTAAAGTAGAGACACTACATACTGATATACACCTGAACATCAGCTGGAGAGGACTCTTTAAAGTAGAGACAATACTGATATGAACCTTGAAATGTGCAGAATATGTCCTAGCAAAATGCATGTTACATCTGCATGCCGTTTTATGGATAATCAAAAGCACCAATAACATGAAGAAAGTAGTGCTCAGTCTGAACTTTCAGAGTTTTGTTTCTTTTAAGCTGTCCTGTTAATGGTGAAGAAACAAATGTAGATTGTATATTTTGCATTACCGTTGTATCTCATGATTAATATCAAAAGTTTAAGGTGTTCTTGTTCTTAGCCCATAAATACATTGATAATGAAAATCCAGGAATAAAACACATCTAAAAACAACATGTATGTAAAAGCCTTTTATTTTACAAAAAAAGATTTAGGCCAGTGATCATTCGCCTGACCTCAACAACGACAATTTACCCAACAAAAAGTTATAATAGAAAAAAAAGAAAAAGGAGGAGATGTACGATTTACAGAAATAAAAACGAACGGACAGAAAGGGACCCCCATCCCCCCCTCACAGAGTCTCTGCGTCCCTGGATTAAACTCCGGGGATCTATTTCTTGGCGTACGTGATCTTCATGGCGCAGGTGGCTGTGATCCTGAAGCCCTGCAGCGCGTCTTTCGCCACGCCCGCCTGGTTTTCACTCTCAAACTCCACGAAGGAGATGTCGTGTTTCCCCGGGACGAGTCGCACCTCTTTGAAACCGGGAAACCTGCGGAGGAAGAAAAACACAGTCAGCACACACACACAATACATGTCTGACAAGCTGCTGTTACGAGACAGGCCTACTCATCATTCCCAGGGTCAGAAACCAAACACGAAGAAGCAGCTTTCAGGTTTTATTAGGGCAGTCACTCTTCCCCGGGTTTTTACCATGAATGGCATGGCAGTAAAAAGGCAAAGAAAGTGGCTACATGTATGTCAGTAAGAACCATCAGCACCTCAGTCAAAGCTAATCGATGCAACATTAAAGCTGTACTCATTTGCTTTAGGTGTGGTGAAAAGGCATTTTTTCCAAACAATGCACCACTGTTTTGAAGTTGCACAGGAGTGATAGAAGGCAGACTCCACTGTAGGAACAGATAGAGCTCTCAGTATGATAGCAGCAGAGATAATACACCCTGTGTAAAGCACATTATAGAGAGGGGAATCACAGAGGCTCTCCGTGACAGCTGCTGTGTCGGAAAAGTGTCCGAATTCATGCCAATAATTCAGAAATTATGTAATAATAAATTATAAAACCCTCTGATTTATCTTACCAGTTTGTCATACATGTCTTTATTACAACACCACATGTTTATTTGATTTATCTCCCCCAAATATATAGCTAAATACTAGTATTGTTAACTTGTGATTGGTCATGAGTCATTGCTTATTATTTTTAAATCGATGGACACCACTTTTTTTTATGCTCCAAGGATGTGGAGTAAAGGACCTTCCAGAGTTTTAAAAAATGTTTTATTTGAGGTTGAAAACCTTTTTTCTTTGCAAATGCTTTTCCAGAGGTCATTCAACAACATAGTATTATTATACCTCTCCACCTCTTGCAGCAACAACTGGAATATCCAATGTCAATGTTTACTGTCTTCCATCTCTTTTATGATTTGTCTTCTTTTCTGTTTAGGTCATTTAAATGTCCATGTTTGTTAATGCCTATTTAAAGTACGTTGCCTTTATAAACTAACCATAACCATAACACACAGACACTCTTTCTGTAAAGCCAGACGCCTGGCAGTGAACTCACTGGTTGAACAGCATGGAGAGCATCATCTCGTTGGTCTCTTCAGGCAGGTTGTTGAGGAACAGGATGTAGTTTGGAGGATTATCCGCCACCTGAGAACACAAGAGAGATCGTGTGTTAGGGGTGCGGAACAGATCAACTAAACATAGAGAAGATTTCCATTTATAACATTCACTTTTTCTGTCATGGAATAGTGGATTAGGACAGACTTGGGACTCAGGCCCTGTTTACACGGAGACGAAAACGACCCTTAGTCGATATTAAAAAAGTCCTCCGTCCACACGGAATCGGCTCAAGAAACGTGTCCGTTCACACGAGACCGCCCGACCCGCTGGAGACG